TAATAAACATGTGGTTGCATTCAGTCTCCCCAGGACCCTGTCCACATCTTCAGGAGCAACAGAGTCAAACTCCTCCCATACAACCGTCTCAAGATAAGTAAGCTATATAACTAAAACCCTGGGGTTGTATAATATTAAAAGTTTAAGAAACACATAAATTATAAAGCATATTGAGGCTTAAAAGATTCTTTTATGAGGGAATTCCTAGAGAACAGGTCTTTGTTACTAATTTATCTCATTTTAAGTCTTATCTTATTATTAATGTATCTCACTTTCCAGGGCTTCTTAAGCTGATCAAGGTGATTCTTCAAAAAAATCAATGCCAGGACTTTAGAAAGTGAAACTATCATTCAATTCTGATCAGAAGAACAGATCAGTATTCCAGATCAATTGTTGAGTGATGAAAGTATGTACATTTGCTACAGAAAGAAGAATGCCCTAATGATTCAGTACCTTTTTAAAATAGATACTGTTGTGTTTGCCAGAAACTTATTACATATTTAACATTCATTCCCAATGGTAACTGTACATATTACATTTCTTGGCATTTCTTGGAATCAATAAAGTAAAGGGAAAATAACACTTAGTACAAAGAAACATACATAATGAAATTATTTTAAAAAATAAAAATCCAAGGTCACCAAATTGTACATAGCAAAAAAGCTTAAATGAGCATTACTTACATGAAATAGATCATATTTACTTCCAATTATAACTAGCGGAATTGGAAATGGGTCAATTAGCTCACGATCCTAATAAGAAACAACAGTATTGTATTATCAATTACAAATGTCATGACAACGTTCTGAAAAAGTAAAGCTCCACAGTATATAGACAACTGTCATTTCTCAACGTAAGCTTTGAATAAATAAAATTTAAGATTGCAAAGCAATTAACCTATAGTGGTCAAATGGGGATGCCAAAACTCACTATGCTATTGCTGTGAAACATGTGAAGGAAGTTACAAGTAGCAGAGGCTGAACAGGAAGAAATTGAGTAGGTTCTGAGATTGGTGGGAAAGGTTTCTTCTTGTCCAGGACATCTTACTTTTGCACTTTTATGTGTGATTTTCATAATAGATAAAGTGGAAAGGTGCTGGGCCTCTTCCCAATCCAGAGTGTTGGTGAATTGGAATTAATGTAATAAATGAAGCAAGATATGAAATATATTTGTCATAAGAACATAAATAGTACTGTGATGGATCAGATCTTTGGTACATCTAGTCAAGCACTGTCCTCACAGTGGCCAGCCAGTTGCTCAAGGAAGCCCAATAGTCTCGCAGAAGATCAAGTCATACTTCCATCAAGCTAACAGCCCTTGATCTCCATAACCTCCATGAACTGGTCCATACCTTATTTTTTGAGTACAGCCAATCTTATAGCCAGTACCACATCTCATGGTAACACAATTCCAAAGTTCAGGTACTTGTGTAAAAAAGATATTTGATTTTGTCTGTCCCGAATCTTCCAAAATTAAGTCTTATTGAGTAATGTCTGGTTCTAGTAATTAGGGAATAGGCATGTAACTTCTTCTTGTCTAATTTATTCAAACCACACATACTTTGTATACCTCAAAAAAATTCCCTCTCATTTGTCTCCTTTCAGCCCTAAAAGCCCTAAAAGTCATAATCTTCCCCAATAGGAAAGTTGCCCTAGTCCCTTGGTCATCTTAATTATCCTCTTCTGAATCTTCTATAGTTCCACTACATACTTTTTGAGATAAAGTTACCAGGACTATTTCAGATGTGGCTGCACCATTGATTTAGATGTGCATTATGACATTGACATCTCTATTTTAAATGCCAGAATCAAATTTGTTCTTCCCCATCTAGAGCCACACATTCTCTAGGCACTGAAAAAATACTTTGACAACATTACTTAAATGGCCCGGGGCAGAGAAGTATCCTCAGTGTCATCAGCATAGTGATGATACATAACCCCACACTGAGCAATGACCTCATTCTTCATATAGTATATGCAAAATTTCTATACAAGACAAAAGCACCAGGTATTTTTTCAATGACAGCTTTAGGCAATCTATTTTACTTTCTTCAAGGGAGCAAATTACCAATTGAGTGTCAAGGGCTGGTATTAACATCCCTAAAAATTCATATTTAATTAGTTGTCATGTTATCAAAAGACACTGACTTCATGATAGACACTTGAATAAGTGCAAAGTATAGAGTTGTATTGAAGGTTGTTGGAACTATATTTTTTCCTTAAAACTATAGCTTCCTTGAGTTGCCTTGCCAGGTAGCAAAAATGTATAGAAGTTATCACCCTCATTTGAAAAGATTATAAAACCAGTATCAAAGTGCTTCTGTAAAATCGTAGCTCCTGATTGTTGTAATATGCCATAATAATAGCATTAGATGTCTAACTCATAAGAAACCTTATCTCCTTTCTGCTACTACTAAATTTTCATTAAATTGCTATAATTTTCTATTGAACAACTTCTTTTATATCTAATAAATTTTCACTCATGTGTGAAAATATAAAGGAATTGTTTATGATTCTCAAAACAATTAACTTTGTATAAGATTGTGATGTATGAATAAAATACTAGTTCTTACAGGATGATCTTTTGGCACATTGTTCCACATTTTCCGCTTAATTTCAGTAGCTATTTTGGAATTGTTTTGTACCAGTTTTGATATAATTCTGTCTACATGCTTTCTAGTGACTTGTAGAAGACTCTCCATGGTTGGCCAGAGTTCATTTGGTTTTGAAAGATCCAAGACAAGAATAATAGCAAATGTCCTATAAAAAGAAAGGTTATTTTTTCAGATATCACCTTAATATTTCACCCATGAGAACTTTAACATGAATCAAAACATCCCTTCCCAAAATCTAAGCAGATTATCTAAACATTAAAGGAATAAATTTTCCCTTGAAAATGACTTAAAATTTACAGAATCTTGTTTTACTATGCTGTTTTATTAGTTGGATTGATAAAACCTGTTACTATGGATTAGTAAATGGTTTGAAAGTATCTAAAGTAGTAGTACTGGCAAAGATAAAAAAGCAAAGGACACAAAAAATAGATTCTTTCCAATTGAAGAATATAAACCATACTACATTTTGAATTACTCCCACAAATAGCTAAAACTAGCATAGTTAGTCAGCTGTATTATAATAAAAATTGACGACTCCTTTGATGATGCTAGAATCTCACAAGCAAGCTCGGAGAGCACCTCTCACTATTTAGACAGGATTGACTACACAACTCTCCAATTTCTAACATTGGCAGAAAACTTGACAGCACAAGCTTTATGGAACTAAATCCAAACAACTATCTACAAGAAAAAGTGACTGAGCACTTAAATACAAATAAAGTTGAAATTGAAATACTTTCTGTAAAACGAAATTACTTTTGATAATTAAGTCTTTCATTGCTTACCTTATGTTAACTGTCATTACTGGTATAGGGATTAAATCCAACAATGAAGTTCCACCACCTAATTCCCAAAAGTGAGCAATATCTTTAGGCTGAAAATGTAATAGGAAAAAACCGTAACATTGTAATGTCTTGATGCATTAGTAGCATTTTCAAAATTTATATAGCTGTGTTTTCAATTATATAATTTCTCAGGTGTCAAAAATCATAAGACACCAGTAGGATTTTTATATAAAACCTAAGACATTTTTGGCTCTATCCAAATAGTCTTCAATTCATAAATATACCAAACTTATGATTACCAGATATAGATAGCAAAATAATTTACAAACAAATAACATTACAGATAAGGATCAGAAACCCCATCATTCGTGCTGAAGTCAACATATAGAAATTGCTTTATTGCCAAGAAAGACAGAGAATATATTTCCAGCTAACCTTAAACCGCCTAAGCTCATCTGGAACTACTTAACAGAAAACATATTGTTGCTGGCAGATATAGCATTAGGAAGTAGAGGAAGTGAAGTCAAAAATGCTTTCCTTCTTCATTATGTAGCTAATATGAGGATCAGAGAGCTAAAATATTAGTTCACTACTCCTATGAGAAGACTTCGTTCTGGTATTAATAGACTTTCATCTGATTCCTGAGATGGCTGGATACGTTTCTCACATTATAATAGATGACAAGGATGACTCTGGCATTTCTTTCTTTTTCTTTGGGGATTTACTGAAATTGAAAATTGTGCCACTACATATTATGTGATGTTGATGAGGAAGAGAGATGCACTCAGTGTTTGTCAAATAACAAATCTACTTTACAGACTCTAAAAATAAAAGAAGGCAAAACCGAAACAGTAGATTAAGTGAACAACAACTGAAAATGTGACTTATAAATGCAAAAAATACATGAGACAAAAACAAGAAGAAACAAATATGGGCAGATGAATACAAGAACTGTAATATAAAGTGGGAATCAATTTATTTACTTTATTGAAGACAACTATATTTTGTTGAAAGATGATATATATACACCACAATCTATACTGTATATTCATAAACTCAGAAGGCAGAAAGAAACAATAAGGCTACTAACTATAAATCTGCATTGAGGCAATACTTTCCAGACATGGGAACCTCACATGATTGTATCAGACAATAGCTGTCAGTTTTCACTAGTTTGTTGTCAATTGAAATATGGCCAAAAAGAAAACTACAAACTTACTTATGAAGACTTATGATGCAAATACATAATACTGTTTCCAAGCACGGCAAAGTAATTTACTGAAAATACAAGTCTTTCAAAGCTCATTACAATATTAATGTAAAATGGCCAAAGGCTTCCACTGGATAGTGCTCATGACTTTTGGGATAGGAGATGTAATGCACTGCTCACTATACATCATGCTGTAATTCTCAAGCCCTAAAGATTAATACAATGGCATTCACAGAACTGTTTGCCACACCAATATACTTACTGTATTATGCCCCTTTGCTCTTCTTCCAAAAGTATATTCCAAAGCTAGGGTTGGTTTTGGAATTTCATCCCTAAAAGATTAGGATACCCCACCCACCAAATTTGCAAAGTTACTGACAGGCTAAGAAAAATTATAATATTATTATAATGTTATAAATATTATAAAAACCAGTAGTTTGCACAAAACTTTCCACTTACATTCCACAGAAGAAAAACTGGCTGGGGAAAACATTTCTAATGACTACATTGGAATGAAATCTCTATGGAATAATTACACTAAAACTATTACAATTTCCAGTAGATTATTTCTAACAACTATGCAGTAAGAACAAAGATTTAATAAATCAGAATATAAACTTAAGGAATCATAAAGAGTTAAATATGTATGTTTAGGAATGTTTACTCTTTATATTTGGAGTTTGAAAAAGTAGAAAATTTGGCAAAATGAATACACAGCAGAAATAGAATTTGCCTGAACAATGTCTCTGGCCAGTAAACAACTAATAGTACTACTTGATGACCACCAACAATTTAATAATAAAAAGCAACATTTCAAAAAAATAGTCAAATCTCTTACAATTCTTGCAAGATATATTGATGTCATAAATATTTAAAATACCACAAAAGCTATTGGCTTTTTTAAAGCACAGACTGATATAACCACTTTGCTGGAAATCAGAAAAGATAAGATCCAAAACAAGTGGGAAATGGGAATACATTTTGAGTTTTTGATAAACTCTGGGGGAACCGCAAAAAAATCATAACACTGAAGTATCACTCCAGTCAAAAGTCAAGGTGAATGTTAAGTGTAAGTGATAAGTCCTATAATACTTGTGCACAAACATATCTGATCTGATATTAACCATACAGTGCTCTTTATATGGTTTGTTCTAGATGTGTTCTTAGAAAATAATTTATTATATTGTATTCCTATAAAGATATTGTTGATAAATACTTTGAAAATATGAAATACTTTTCAAAGTTTAAACACATACCTGTCAAGGCACCTCAATATAATACTAGTCTTACCCTAGAAATTAAAAACAAAGAATATTATTGAAATGTCAGTGATGCATACATATCATTCTACATGCTGTAAAATATTCTTCAAATAATTTCTAAGAAAATATCTGAAAATTATAAACTTAGCAAATTAAATGTCATTTGATTATTGGAAAGTTGGTTTCAACTTTTTATCAGAATGTAGCTTTGCTGTTATTATTATTATTAATTATTCAAAGTATTGGAAGCATGATAGTAGCTATCTGTCTACCAATTACATTCATGTGAGAAATCATTGGTAATTGTATATAGAAGGTTAATCAAATAATGTGTTTCTACAGTAAGCGGTTTAAAATGATGAGATGGAAATAAAAAAGAATGCATGTAATATACATAATCTTCAATACATAATTTATTACTTTATGCTATAAGGATTAAACTGTTGGAGAAATTAGTCTATCATGATGTGTTGTCCTTGTTTTCTATAAAAATAAATATGTGATTGCTTAGGTTTTAGAGTAACTTTTATTTTTATAATGCTGATTCCATTCATTCTGGATATCCTTACTTAAAAAAATCAGCCCACTGAGACTGGTTATACTTATTTTTAGTAAGTATGTCAGAATTGTAAATTCTATCAGTTGTTTATAGGTTAATATATTTGCTTACTGAGAGATAGCAGAATATGTCAGTAGTTCAAATTTAAATATAAGTTTGTTCACTAGGCCAGCCTTTTCCAACCTGATGTCTACCAAAATTATTCAGACATCTCCCACAATGTAAAATCTGAAAAACTGGGAACTGAATCCCAAAATATGTGCAAATATGGGCTGGATAAAGTTACAGGAGGCAATCATTGTCTCTAGAGCACACAAGTAAGAAATACATTTAGTGCAGATAGTCTTTGTTTTGCAACCACATCTTAGTTGTTAAGCAAATTGATCACTAAGCACAACATCACAATTTTATTTCAGCTTCCCTTTGCTTTATGGACCTACATAAAGCAAAATGCAAAAATTGGTCACAAGGTTACTTTATCATCACTATGGGAACTGTAAAAGGTTGCTAAACAAGTCCATTGCTAAAGGAGGACTACTTGTTTTATTATATATTTAAAACACATAGTATTCTGCTTAAATAAAATTAAAATATTGATCATTACCCCATTTTTATTTCCCAAAAAGAATAACGATCTTTCACAACATTCCAGAGTGTCTTTGTCATCTTCACTGTTTTCTCTTTTCTCAACTTCCGCTTTAGCAATATCCCATATAGTGTCACTAGTAAAGAAAAGAAAATACAAATATCTTCAAACAGAATAATGTCCCAATAATTGCCTTAAGGAAGCCAGTTCTGAGCTAGTAGTTAACCACCAGGCTAGAAACCAGGAGACTGTGAATTCTGGTCCCACCTTAGGCACAAAGCCAACTGGTGATCCTGGGTCACTCACTCTCTCTCAGCCCTAGGATGAGGCAATGACAAACCACTTCCCAAAAACTTTGCCAAGAAAATTTTGCTAAGCAGGTGTCAACACTGATTCAAAGGCACACACACACAAATAATTCAGCTAAGAAGCTTCTTTGGCAACATTCCTTTCTTCACTGAAATTGGGAATACTAATAAATACCAAATACTTGCATATTTTTAAATTAAAATTTATCTATATTAATTGGCTATGATATGAATTACTGACTGTAAATATGTACTTACATTAAAATCAGAATAGCACTGAGAGTCATTAAACTGCACCTCTTCCGCCGAGCCCTGAAAACTCATCTGTTCCATGTGGCCGGCCTGGCGTAGTTTTGATTGGGTTTTGTTAGGGGTTTTATATTTTAGAGCAGGCTTTTATGTAATATTTACTGTGATTTTTATTATTGCCTGTTCACCGCCCTGAGTCCCGTAAGGGAGATAGGGCGGTATATAAATTTAAATAATAAATAAATAAATTAAAATCATTAAAATACATGAGAGTAATTTGTGAAACTTGAATTCTAAACTGTACAGACTGGCACTCAATTTTGCTTTTTTCACATTAATACATTTTCCTTTATTGTAGGATAAAGGCAGGAATGCCTCTTTAATTCACAATGGGTTACTGGCTGATTGAAGTTTATGAATAAAGTTTATAAATGATAAATGACTATGTTATATTTTTTTCAATTAAATAAAGAACAAGAAGAATGCTTTAGACTCATTTGTTTCATTAGATTCTTTATCTAGTTTTAGGCCCTGTAAGGAGAACAGATTATGTTTTGGGTCAATTTAAAGTTCACAAACAATAACATGGTTGTGTTAAGATGCATACTCCTAAACTAATACTTTGTTGAAGCACTTGTTTTTATAACAGCATTCAATCTTTTGGGCTAGAAGCCTATCAACATGGCACATCTTGCCTTGAGAATCATTATAAATGAGACTGAATTCAGTAGGATGTCATTCTAAGAAGTATGCACTGGTCTGTACTCCACCATGGTAGTCCTAAAAGTAAACACGCTTTTAACCTTTACTCCTTGTGACTTCATGGATGCAGTGAATATACAAAGTCTACACACTCCTATTAAAATGCCAGGTTTTTGACAGAAAAATAGCCCAGACCCAAATCCAATAGAAAGTCTATGGGGATGCCCTTGCAATTTGACATATCTGGAGCACTTCTGGAAGGATTCCCAAGGCAAGAAGTGCCATGCTGATAGGCTTCTACCCCGAAAGACTGAATACTGTTATAAAAATAAGAGCTTCAACAAAGTATTACTTTAACGGTATGCATCTTAATGCAACCATGTTATTATAAGTTTTTTTTTCTCCCTAAATGATTTCGCTTTGTTTTTCAATTGAATTGTACAACCTATGTGTTATATTAGCATGGAGAGCACTTGCCTATAAAGTCACCAAGAGTCAGACACGACTAAATGGATAAAAGCAACAACATATGCTATGTTAAAGGTCGGAATAATGCTGACTTGATTTATCTTGGTCTGATTTTTTTTACATGGAAAAAGTTTCTATATCTACTGTATGTCCAGATCATTTCTATGGCAACAGCATGGAACTGATTTGCCACTGACTTCTGTGGGGACTTCCCCCCCCCCATCTCATTAGCAGATAAAGGTAGTCCTCGGCCCCATTTTATGACTTTTCTTGCCACAATTGTTAAGTGAATCACTGCAATTGTTAAGTTAGTTAGTTGTTAAGCGAATCTAGCTTTCCCATTGACTTTGCTTGTCAAAACGTTGCAAAAGATGATCACATGACCTCGGGACACTGCAACTGTCATAAATATGAGTTAGTTGCCAAGTGCCTGAATTTTGATCACATAACCGTGGAAATGCTGCAATGGTGGTAAGGGTGAAAACAGGCCATCAGTCACTTTTTTCAGTGCTGTTGTAACTTTGAGCGGTCACTAAATGAACTGTTGTAAGATGAGGACTACCTGTAATTCCTGCTAATAAGATCATATTTGAGTTTCATTAAATTTCAAGTGCATGTGTGCTTGCCCCAAACTAACCTGACAGTAATATAATAATATAGTAAAATTGAACAATTATTAGAATAATGATTTGTCTGCATAAATGCAATAATGATGTGTCTGCATAATTGCTAGAACAATGATGTAATGCATAATCACTGGGAAAATTCACTGGGAAAGTTCTGTCAGTAATATGTGGCAACCAAATGCGCTCTGCACATGGATACTTTTTATGTAGCAAAACCTTCCATTCTATGCCTGTGAGAAACGTTCCTAATGTATCACAGTGTGAATTTCAATGTGTAGCCCTTTGTTCTTTAAGGAGGGGAGTATAAAAACTGAAGTCTAATCCCGCCCTCCTCGTTCAGAATTGCCTATCTCTAATATGCTCTGGACCTTGCGCAAATAAACTTCTCTGCTAAACCCCTCTGCAATTCGTAAGAGTTCTTTCGTTTTCCACAAGACCTGAATTTTGATCACATAACCGTGGAAATGCTGCAATGGTGGTAAGGGTGAAAACAGGTCATCAGTCACTTTTTTCAGTGCTGTTGTAACTTTGAGCGGTCACTAAATGAACTGTTGTAAGATGAGGACTACCTGTAATTCCTGCTAATAAGATCATATTTGAGTTTCATTAAATTTCAAGTGCACGTGTGCTTGCCCCAAACTAACCTGACAGCATATCCTCTCCCCACCCCATAAGTAGGACCTTTCAATTGCCAAAAGCACACTGGCCACTTGGCTAACAGCATCTATGAGCAGCGCCCGGGAAGGCTGCACAACCGCACAACCTTACTGCTCCTGGTCGCTTCCATTTTCACGCTTTGCGCCTCTGACCGTTGGGATCAACTTTAGATTCAGAGGTCGGGGTCCCACTCGGTGATCGCGAGCAGCGCCACTGCTCGTTCACTTCTAGGGCGGGAAAGTATGGGAAAGTTCATTTGTGGCCCCTGCCGCCGCCCCGAGACAGAGTTGTGCGCCGTCAAGCTGCCCCCTTTGCCAGCAGCACCCTTTCCCCTCTGGCGCAGGGGCAAACAGCGGCCCAGCGAGCTTCATTCTCCCTCCAAGATAGAAGGCGACCGAAAGTGGCAACTTTTATCCAAAACGGCGGGAATTTTAGGCCTGGGTCTACTCCCTGATAACCAGGGCAACAGCGCCATAGAATCACACTTGCCACCGCTTTCTCTCTCGCTGGGGCAGCGAGGAGGGATGGGATTGCGGTCCTTCAAAATCTGGAGCCGTTCCTGAAACTCTGTCGAAAACTGAGCGCAGCAAATATCCTAACGCAGGGGCAGGCAACCTCGGCTCTTTTATGACTCGTGGACTTCAACTCCCAGAATTCCTGAGTCAGCTATGCTGACTCAGGAATTCTGGGAGTTGAAGTCCACGAGTCATAAAAGAGCCGAGGTTGCCTATACCTGTCCTAACGCGTAATGCAAAACAGTCCGGGCGATTATTGATATAGGGCGCAGGACGCACAATTCTCTGCCTCTCCTCAGAGCAGGAAGAGCCCGAGTTACACGACACGGGTCCGCCCTAATAAAAACCCAACCCAATCGGTCTTCTCTTTACCTGGCCCCAGGCATCCTCTTCTCAACTTCATCAAAAACGGCGGTGAGAATGTTAGGCCTTGCCCTACTCCCAGATCACCATGGCAACAGCGCCTAACCTGCGAGCGGAGCTTTATGGGAATTGCAGTTCTTTGGCAAGCGAAATCTTTCTGGTCGCCACCACGGAAACCGCGGAGCTCACTTTTCTGCATAGCCCACGTAATCCTGCCTGCCCTCTCGTCCAAAATCGTTAATGTGCTAGAACAGGGGTAGGCAACCTCGGCTCTTTTATGACTCATGGACTTCAACTCCCAGAATTCCTGAGCCAGCAGAGCTGGCTCAGGAATTCTGGGAGTTGAAGTCCATGAGTCATAAAAGAGCCGCGGTTGCCTACCCCTGTGCTAGAATCTTTAATAATGCACTGAGGGATTGTAAAACACGGGTCATTAAAAGTTTGGTCAGCGTAGAATTTAAGATCGTTAGGGAAAATGTTTCGATAGCATACGCTATCGAATTTATCTTCAATCAGAATCAATCAGAATCGAGCTGGAAGAGCTTGGAGCTCTTCTAGTCCAATCCCCTGCTCAAGCAGATTATTTTAGACAAGTGACTGGCCAGTGTCTTCTTAAAACCTCCAGTGATGAAGCACCCACAACTTTTGACAGCAAGCTGTTCCACTGGTTAATTGTCCTCACTGTTAGGAAGTTTCTCCTTAATTCCAGGTTGCTTCTCTCCTTGTTTAGTTTCCATCCGTGCCCTGCCCTCTGGTGCTTTGGAAAGTAAGTCGACCCCCTCCTCTTTGTGGCAGCCTTTCAAATACTAGAATACTGCTGGAATAATACAGGAATCTTGCCTGTCCTGCTTTCAAGATTATTCTACTTTACTAAATTTCTGGACCTCTGAAAGCCAGTCAATCAAACCGCTTCTAGAAGCTGTTAAGACCTGGTTGTTTCTTACATGTTTTTAAAATTGTGCAGTGCAACGCTATGCAGTCTATCTAGAAGCAAACCTTTTGGATTTACTTCCTCAAATGAATAGAATCAATTGCCCGTAAAGCCAATCTGTGAAATGTTTAGGCTGGACAGTATGCTGATGATGGTTCTCAATCATCCAGGTAGAGTTGTCTGGAAGTTGAGTCATGGCAACTGGATTTCTTTTATTTTTGGTTACTTGGATAAGCAGCAAAACATTTCAATCAAAAAAAAAAAGTCCAGTTGGTGGACAGTATGGTTGTTGGACAGTATGCTTCGAATAAGGAGCAATGAGAGCAAGAATACTTTGACTAAATAACGCTCTAAAGCAGTGCTTCTCAAACTTGGCAACTTTAATGGACTTCAACTCCCACAATTTCCCAGTGGGTAGTGGAATTGAAGTCCACATATCTTAAAAGTTGTCAAGTTTGAGAAATGCTGCTCTAAAACATGGTGTGCTATCTAATCCTGAATCTACATGACAAAATACAGACTTTTTTCTCATTTATTTTATTTGTTAAAATGGTTTACAGTTATATAAAAATACCTTATAAAACATAACTAGATTAAATAAATATAAATATTCTAATATAAATTAACATTTTGTTAATTTTAAGAACAATTTGAAATACCAGACCCATTAAAGCATTTCTTGATTAAGTTTATACAAACTGCATATATTTTCAGTATTCATTATATTTGGATGGAGCCCATATTTAACATTTGAAGATAAATGTTATGTATGGCTAGTTGTACCAGTATATATAGATAGATAGGATGCATCTAGAGCAACACATAGGGACAGAAGTACATTCAGATGTGCAATCCAGTTTAACATTACAGATTCCTACAGTAGTGAATGTTGCACACAGTAAGCTGTTTATGCCTGCACATAACTTTTACAGAATCACAGTGAGAATAATGGTTGCAAACATATGTCTCTTTTTAATAAAAAATGCACAGTAAATGAAATGTGATTATACATAGCGTCTATAAGAGTATCAGGGTACCACTATTAATTTTACATGGAGATAGCAGCAAATACAGAGCTATGTTGGGCTCTTGCCCAAGTACCTTGAAAATAAAAAAAAACAGGTAAAAAATCCAAGGTGGTAGAATTTTATGCAGTTTTTATTTTCCAGGATGAAAATGGGTCTGCTAATTAAATGAACTTGCTGGTCCCACTTCTACTTTAAAGGCTAAAAAGACTTCAAAAATAAATTTCTCAAAATTTGTCCTAATTAGCAACATAGTATGCCAAAACCCCTACATATACAGACTTACAGAATTTTATTTATAGATGTGCTAGTTGGTTATGTAACTATATATTGTTTCTTTTAAATCAGTACTTTCTTTTTTAACAAGGGGAGACATTTTGCATAGGTGGCAAACTGTGTGAAATGAGAAATAGTTCTCAGGCTATAATCATTTGTACTATCCTCTAGACCAGGGGTGTCAAACTGCCAGCCCGCAGCCCGGATACATCATAGCAAAACCATGCTCACCCCATTGTCGGCAATGCCAAAAAGTCACATGTCACGTGACGTGAGTTTGATACCCCTGCTCTAGACAATGAGCGTCCAATCATTTGGCTTGCCTGACCACACTGAGTGAAGAGGAATTGTCTTGGGCTGCATATAAAGTATATAATATAGTTAATGGATATAAATACATATGATAATGTTCAGTTTTCAATCTTGTGGGGCTGCATTACTATCTGTCCGGGGCCATATGTGGCCCATGGTCCCCTGCTTGGACACACTTGCTCTAAAGTCAACCATTATTGTGCTGACACAATTAAAGAAGAAAAGCTTTATTCAGCTTTTATTCTTTCATTCAGCTTCACTGAGGTTAAGGGTTATACTCGATACTCTAAGGCACCAGAAGAGAGGGGATGAAAATGAGCAAAGAACATCTATCAATACTTAGGAATTATGAGAAATAGTTTTTTCCCACTAAAGAACCAAATTGGTTTTTTTTTTTAACCTCTAGATGTTCAGAACAAATGCAAACAAAATTCTAAAGCAGGACAATACTAGACTGCAGCATGATTGGTGGACCACATCTGGCCGAGATATTTATTTGCTCTTTTTTCTGAATTTCCTTTCTATTTTAGCGGAAGAAAAATCAGCATTACTAACTCCCTCCTGGGATAGTAGCAACTTTTATAATACCCAAGTTGTCTGTACTAGCTTTTAGTACATATTTTATCCTGTCCTATCTATAAAGCTCCTTTCCACCAGCAGGATACTTCCTTCATATCCCAAATAATTCCAGCAAGTAGTTAGATTGCATTGAAAGTATGGAAGTTGTGACTACCTACGGCATACTAGGGTATTATGTCAGGCTTAGCCACTAAGACACATTAAAAAAAAGTTTAGAGCAACCATGTGATTCTGTGCTCCACTAAATTCTTTAGTAAATCTATTAAAATTATTCTTTCTGTAAATTTTACCACATATTTTAAAACTGAAGAATGGCAAGCTTTGTTTAAAATTTTGATATATATTTATCAACATTCAGACACTGCATTCATATATATGAGAATATAAATGGGTAAAATTATTTTAATAAATAATAAACAATAGTGGTAAATGGTTTTGTAAACTTGTAAAAAATAAACAACAGATCTGTGAATTGCCTCAGGAGTCAATAATTAAATCAGTTCTGGCAGGTGTATGTTGACTAATAGATCTAACAGTCAGCTTTTTGGGTGACTGAAATAGATTGGCAAAGATTTACTAATGGTGAAAACAAAATGATCTCTCCCTTCCTTACCCTACAACTCTTCATCCAATTATCTGCTACACAAATGAAAAATGGAAATGGTAATAAAGAATTGATTTTTGTATCAGTTATCTTGAATTCAAAGTGTACTTTTTTGCATTCAGAAAAAAGCAAAATGGATCCTGTGTGTCTTAAGAATTGCGTATTGCTGATTTAAACTGTTAATAATTGTACAAGTAGTCCTGTACTGTTAACTAATATTAAACTACTCAGACAGAGTTGTCTTTTGTTTAAACAGTATTGCTTATAAATTCAATTAGAATTAATTTATGAGCAACATTGTTTAAACAAAACTAAAACTACATTTATACATGTATGTTCATCACTAAATGATATAACATTATGTTAATTTGCAGGCATAACAATTAAATAGTATTTTACAGTACTGACAACAGATATTGTCCCTAAAGCAAAACTTCTATCCTGAGAGTTGCAAGCCAATAAAGGAGAACAGAAGGAAAAAATGGTGGAAAGAGATGTGTTTGAATGTACCAAAATGAAATAATAAGATTTTTTATGAAGTTTTATCAGGTATTTAAATGCTAAACAGTTTTCTTAATAAATAGTTTACAGAAGGTTATGTCTAGATCAATTAAGACTAAAAGCATACATCTTCATGACGGAGCACTCTTTCACCCTAAATGAGTTATTGTATGCATACTATATTCACATATCATTCCAAGCTATAATTATTTGTTTTTAGCTTAAAGTGATATGCAAATAGGATCAGTGAATAAACCATTAACTTGTTTTAAAGAAGTAAATTACAGTTTGAAACAACTATTTGCTGTTGGCTTAATCATTATAATGATGAGTCATGGAAAGCTTCCCGCAATCTAGGTTATTCCTAATATGTTTTCTGCCTTGCCAAATTTCTAACCTAACAACACACATCTAGTAAATGTGCAGTTAAATGAGAAGAAACAAACTATGACCTGGTTAAAGAATTATAATTATTATATTCATTCCAAGAATTCTGTCATATTTAAACAAGAGATGGTTTAGTATGATATGTGGATGCAGTCACATTTTTTAAAAGTTCTAAATCTAGGAGTGATTTAGAAAAAAAAAAAGAAAGAATTTAAAAGAAAAGGAGGAAAACAGAGGTCTTGTATGAATCTTTGTATTGAAAGATTATTATTATTTCTCCAATGTTTCCTTTATTATTTCTCCAACTTCTGATTATTTTTTGTTACCCAATTCACAGTGTTTATTCAGAATAATTCTATTTGGATTACCATATACTATATATATATTATTTTGTACTTTGTATATTCTAATAGTTATGAAGAAAAATACAATTTCTTGCATACCACAGCTTTCAGCTAGGACTACTACTTCTAGGATGCAAAAATCCAAATAGCTGCCAAGGCAGAAAGGATCATTCTTCTATATTTTTACTGTCATCTAGGGGTCATCTGAATTTTTACAGTTCACATCTGAGAGTCCCAAGCTTGGTAGAAGAATAAACGTGCAATAGATATTGTTAATTTCTAATTTACAACAGACTGCTCTTTCAAAATAATAACCTAATATAAGTGACATACTGTATATTTAGCATAACTATTCATAGATATTTGAACTTTTCATAATAAAGTAGGTCCTTTGGTTGGTCTGTTTTGCAGTAAAAATGAATGACATTCTATATCATTAGATTTTGGATTTCTTGATTGTGGAGCAGAAAATTCATGAACTGTCTTCTTCTGTTGATGAAAATTGTTAATATAGCTGGCAATAAGTAGAGTAATCTCAAGGATCTGAAATAAAATGCATGCAGTTAATAATAATGATACATTGAGAACACCTTTAATAGACCTTTATTGTTTAATTGGACTATACTGAACTGGGGGCAAAAAGTAGAGTGTCTTAAAGTTCCAATTCAAAGCTTTCTCCAATTCATTAATAATATTGTTGTCAAAGTGTGTCCATCAATCAAAGGATATAAAAGAGAGGATATGGTGCCTTTGTACCAGATGATGTAACTAGCTACAGAAACAGCATTAACTCTTCTTGTTGGAAATGCCTTCACCTATTTGGAAAACATGCTTCTAGCATTTTGAAAATGATAGTTCAATAAAGATCAGGCAACACTGTTATAGGTCAAAAAGATTTTTACAATAAATACTGTGAGGGAGAAGACAACTCAGAATCTGACTGAGGATATTTTTCTAAACATTCTTGATTCTATCTTTTCTCATTTTACTGTATATATTGCTGTCATAATGATTGTAGCCTATCACAAAATACACATCTAATAAAAGGCCAGTCCTAGTGCTTCCTGCATGCTTTTTACAACCCTTCCACTTACCTTTATATTTTGTTTAGGTTTAAGCAAAGGATTAGTTTCAGCCATCTAAATATCTATGAGACTCATCTGGAAACTAGAGACGTTCTTGAAGATAAAAATGGTTTATTTTGAACCATGCCAATCTTACATGTTAGATGAAAAGCATTTTGAAAAACAAAACTTAAAAGTCAATTAAGCAGGGAGATTTCTATGGGTGTTAGATGTCTACGTTTGTTCTACATATGCAATGTCATTTAAAGCTGGTAAACAATTTTGGTTAATATACTAACCTTTGGTTTGGCAAATGTAAACAAGAGTTTTTCAGTATGCTTCTCTTCTGTACTCATGTTATTTACCACCAACATAAAGTCTTCTTGATAACCTCCAAAAGTCACTAGGTTCTTATATAAATATGTCAGTATTAACCTCTTAAAAGTCCAATAGAAATGATGTTCCATGCAAGAGAGGGAAAAGAAATAAAGAGGGAAAATAATTTCTATTTATTTTAATAGACATGGCTTTGAAATTATATAGCTTTTAGAATGATTATAAGGGAATGTTTCATTTCAGTAATAATCTGTCAGGACTGCATTCTAAACATTTTTACTAAAGTGACCAACACAGAATCAATTCAACCAAAATACTCTGCAACATGCTTATTGCATATTATACCTATCACACATAAACACAGAATACGCTTATAGATAAACCGGCATATAATCATAATCATAATGTTTATTGAAATATATGTACCAGTGAAGTGATGAGATTCAAATATGTGAACAACCAGTTCTCTGTGTGGATGCTGCTTCTGGAAGTCCATTCTGGGCCTGGGCAACAAAAAATTAGCTACCGGTTCTGCCGAACTGGTGCGAACTGGCTGAATCCCACCACTGTACCAGTGGATTGGATCCTGACTTAATCATACTACAGGAATATCCTATGAAAGCAGAGGGACAATATCTAACTAAATTCAGCCCTTTTGATTTTAATTGATCTATATTAAGTATGGTTAAATCTGGATCCATTCCAATGAGACTTATTTTTTAGAACGAGCATTTGACATTATGGTCTAAGATATACTTTTTAGAAATAATCTTTTGTAATGGGGTGTGACGATAACCTTGAAGAATAGGAGGAAGAGCCATAGGAAAACAATGGTTAGATACGAACAATCTTAGTCCAAAGCCAAAATATAATTTGAGAAAACATCTCAGACTTAACCCTGAGTTCTCTGTAGGGTAAAGGGAGTGAGTGGTCATATTGTAATACTGTATATATTAGCATTCATTTATTAGGTTTCCTTGTCTAGTCTACCTCAAAAGACTGATAACAATATTGCAATTCTGAATATACCTCCTCCTTTATATTAAAAATTATAATTGCCATATTAGTACTAGTTAAAAAGCAACTTTTCAGGAAAATTTTCTAATAGTGAGAAGCTAAATCAATGACAACCAATTGTACAGGATACTTTCTTTAGCACACAGGTTATAAGTGTGTTGAATTCTGATTTTATATAAGCTGATCTAATAGTGTAAATAACCTTTACAGGTATATACCGTTCATTTATTTATAAAGTTATCAAACTTTTTTCTCATTACCATGGAGTTGTATTCAAGAATGTTAATACCATTTTCAGAAACAGCAAGCCATATCAATGTGCTCTCTGGTGTGGATACTGTCAAAAGCTAAAATCAAACGAACAACAACAACAAAATAAATATACACACGGTACATACTTAGCTGGAGTTATCATATTATATACAATAATGAACTGTTCTACACTTTTAATTAATAACTGAAATAATGAATTATTTCATAAAAAGAAACTACCTGAAGGTAAGCAACAAAAGTATACTGGTGTTTCCTCTGGAAACACAAACAATAGTACAGAGATGCGGTGGGTTCCCCTTTATTGGATGTATTCAGGCAGAGTCTAGATAATGACTTGTCACGAATGCTCAAATTTGGATTCTTGCCTCAGTAACCTCAATGGCTTATTCCAACTCTGCTCTTATGATAATCAGATTTTCCTGCATTTGGAGTATTCTATTATGCTCAATTAGGTTCTTGACATTTTATGTTCTAGTCTAATCATAACAATGTATTATTATATATATAATTTATATAGTGCAGGTAAGAGAGCCAGTGTGGTGTAGTGATTTAGAAGTATGCCAGAAACTGGGAGACTGGCTTCCTGTCCCACCTTAGGTACAAAGCTAACTGGGTGATATTCAGCCAGTCATTCTCTCTTAGCGTAGGAAGGAAGAAATGGCAAACCACTTCTGAAAACCTTGCTAAGAAAACTGGAGAATTGGGCAGATAAGGCAGGATGTACCGTAATCAGTTTTGTTTATATCACTGGGCTGCATTAGAAGATCATGGGGGCAATTGTACTCTACACTGGTTAGATTGAATTTTGCAATTAAATAGTTTACCTAGAATAATGATGGCCTCACCCTCAATGGAGGTTTTCAAATGTAGATAGCCATTCTTGAATTGATTAAAATGTTGACTTAAATGACTTCTGTAGTTTGAACCAACTTATTATGTGATACTATGATCATGATCCTTACCAGTTGAATATTTCCTGCTCCATTCAATACATTTATAAAACCCACATAAGATATTAATTACTAAATGCTTTAATTATTTTAATGGCAAGGGTATAAAGTGCAAGAAACAGTGTATAGGCAAAGATATTTTTTTTGGTAAAGAAGAAAATGAAAAATATTTTTCTTACTTTTGCTGCAAACAGCTTGGCACCAAAGAGAGGCCACTTCCGTACCACAGCAAGATAAATGCGCACACAATCTATAGCAGTATGCCCACGAAGAGCCATCCATTTGGTTGATAATCTCTGGTAAAGCTGTCTTTTAACATGAAGTATCAGGGGGAAAATCCAAAATAAAACATTATGATATAAATGAATTATTATTTAAATTATTTAACTGTTATGAAATGAAGCACTATATATATATATACACACATCTATCTATCTATCTATCTATCTATCTATCTATCTATCTATCTATCTATCTATCTATCTATCTATCTATCTATCTATCCATCCATCCATCCATCCATCCATCCATCCATCCACATACATACAGTGCTTTTTTTGTCATAGAATGCACCAGAACAGAGTTCTGGCCCTTTTTTCTTACAAAAAAAGCACTGTATATATATCTATATATGATGAGGTAGCATTGTTCTGTAACTTTTTTAATTTTGGATTTAGTTAATGTGATTATGGTATGAGATAATTTCCAGCCTACTGGCAACAGAAATGAAAAAAATCTCTGTATGATGAGAAAATGGAACAGATAGTCACATATACAGTACTCTTCCAGTTTACAAGGTATGTTATGTTTGGATGCACAACATTATTTCTTTTACTATCCTATATTCTGAGATTTCAGGCAACTACTACAATAATTAATTACCATAATAAATATAAAAAATGAAACAATATTAAATATAAAAACAATCATGTATATTTAATTTGTGTGTTAAAATAATTGATCCAACTTGTCTAGTCTCTGTCTAAGAAATAAAAATTACTGCAACATTTAACGGGATCTTTATGTAGTTCTATTTGCAACTTTAAAAAAAATATAACATACCTTAACTGTTCTTCTGAACAATTATCTCTGTATCTTTTGGGGTAAAATTTCTCTATAACTTGTTTTAAACTTTGATTAGATTTTGACAGGGAAGTTACTTGACCTGCTGGAGTTGAGAAAGGTCTTTCAAAATCTCCTATTTCCACCTTGTAGATAAGCAACATAAGAAAAAAATAGTGAATGAAAAAAGTGATTACAAAAGCATCTTAGTACCTCAGCATACTTAAGCACCTACAATCTAATGTCCATAATGTAATGTGTATGTTCTCAGTAATCTTTTAAATAATCCTAATAAATATAATTGTTGCAAACTCCATGACTTATTTTTAGAAGCTGAAAGTTTTAGATGCAGAAATTATCAGTGCTAGTAGAATTAACTATAAACATTTGGTGTTTGTGGTATGGTTGTGTTGTGTGTGTGAACAGCAGCCATCATTTTCTTCATGCAGAATTAAACTCAGATGAAGGCACTACAATATTCTTCTGCTCTTGGACTATATAAGACAGAATATTGCTTTCAAACCCAACAAACATTGAATTTGTCATATGGATCACTACATGTGGACATATTGCATATCCATAGAGAAACACTGCTGGGCCATTTGTATCATGACCATATAGTTCAATCACTATCAGCAGTCAAGAGATACTGGTCTGGATATGGACTGAAACACACTTCTATTCATACCAATGTTCAGTCTGAATCATCTCTACCACTCCAGTTATTTATGAAAGAAAAACTTCCTTTCAAGGCAAATTATGTCTGTTTTTAAGTCATTTCCCTTATTTCAAAAGGCACTGATATATTTTATCATATTAAATGATATTCAAGTGCATCACAGAAAATTAATTTATGGCATGTTAATGTTTCTGCATTAAAAGTATTCTGTGGAAAATACTTTTTCTTCCTAATCACAGTATTTTGCTATTTGAAAAATGTCATTTTTTTCTCTTGTTTGTTGAAAACAGCCTAAAGAGTTTAGTGCTCCCCATAGACTACTCAAGCACTCCGTAAAATAATAAAAAGGAGCTTATTTTCCTTATCAAACTGACCTTCCCATTTCATAACCTTTTTTCTTTTTGTTTGCCTAAGATAATTTTCTAATGTATACCTCTCATCTTTGCTAGAATTGACACATTCCCTAAACATTAAAAACTAAGTTAACAAAAAATATACATAAAGCATATTTTATAAAAAGCAAGGTTTCAATTTTATTCTCTAGAAATGGAGTAGCATATAAATTATAATAATAAAAAACAAAAAAATATTAAATCCTCCTATACATAATATGGGACTGGACAACCTTTATTACTGGTAGCAAATTTGGAAAATGTTGCTTAGCATTAACATTAAAACCTGTCATTTGGAAAGATATTTCAGGATCAATTCACCAACATCACTGTTTTACTTTCACAGTTTGGCTATTACCAGAAAATAAAATGTTGATTTTCACCAATCTGATAAGGCTTTGGTTCAGAGAAAAAAAAGAATTATTCCATGCATATAGCCTAACATTTCAGAACATAAGAGTAACTGATTTATCTATGCTTTATATCATAAAAGAAATCTACATTAAAGGCAGACAACTGGAAAATCACAAACATAATTACCTGGGCCAGAAGTGCTGCCAATTCTAGTGCCAGATCTTTATTTACAGGGAAGAACCCATTTATAATTTGATCATTTGTCTGATACATTAACAGTAGCTTTTCTCTTTCTGTCTCTCCCCGGATTTGTACTGAAAAATAGAGCCTGTGAAAGAAAACAGTGATATGTTAAATGCTGATAATCACATAGTATGTGCAGTATGTGCAGGGAATAAATTATAAGGTACTGAAATATATATAAAGTCAGTTCTAGTAATACACATTTTAAAGACTACTAAAAAGAAGTCTGATCATTTTTAAACTAAATTCATGGAAAATTATGCCCTATGTAGAAATATCAAAAGAGATAAATTTTAAGACTACAGTGGCACAATGCAATGAAAGAAATATTTTTTTAATGTGATATTCACACAGGCTCTAGCTAAATGTCAGTATTATAAAACTTTTATAGGAAAAGAAAATATAAGGTAGCCATGCAGTGACAAAATCACAAGAAATAAGGCTAGGAGATAAAAAAAGGCAACCAAAACAAGGTTACGATAATAATCTGAATTTCCATGTTCAGCAGGAAATCTCCTTTCTCAGAACACAAGACCAGAAGATTGTAGACAAGAGAACCAGTTTCTCTTTGGTTCTCCTTGGTGTACTACTATCTCCTTGGTGTACTACTATGGTTTCAATGTGGAAATGACCTTCTCCGATGGAATCCAATTAAGATGGTACCTTTAGTTTCCTCTTTCTGAATTTTTGCACATTCTTATTAGGAGATATGCAAGTTAAGAAAGGAGGATTCTGGTGGATCTTCCTAGATCTTTTGACCTTTTTTTTGAATTTTATTTGAATTTTATTATATTTATACCCCGCCCTGTTTCTTTCCTTCTAGTTTTTCAAAGAGAAAAAGAGATAAGAGATCAGAAGTATAATGCACTTTCAACGTGCATCCTTTAACATTTTAATAACTACTATATATTGCTGAAAGCCTGATCAAAGGCAGTTAAGCAGACAAGAATCTTAAAAACTAGCTTCATGCAGAAAACAAGGTATTCTATTCTAAAGTGCAAAGTTTTATAGTGATAGAAGATAGATAGAAATTCATTATTTTATACCTATTTTTGTAAGTAAGCCTAACTGTTCTTGTCCCTTCACATTTTCCTGGATGCTGCTCTTTAGAGGCTTGCTCCCATCTAGAAATAATGTCACAGATCTAGAAGGAAAGCCATGAAGAAAATGTTTATTCCATAAGTTGCCCCATATTGTACATTTTGGTTAAAAATTCTTTTATTGTGTTGAAAGGATATTTGCCTAAACATCTTTTTGGAATAAAGTAAGAACAAGGGGGAATTGTTTTACTGGCCCTTAACAATGTCATGCAAATCAGCTATGACAGAGTATTACACTCATATTAGACTGAAAGCACTGAACATTTTTACAGATAGTCTTTTCAAATTATATTTAATACTTTATGAAAACTATGAACAAAATTTAACAGAACAATACAAAAATCTTCATATTTATTAAACTACTTTATTTTGTTTGCATCAAGAAAAAAATTAACACATTAAACTATAGTTCCAATCTTAATTCTCTTATCTGTAAATAACATATATTTTATCATTAAAATAGTTGCTCACCTTGATGTTTCCTTGAAGACAATGTTCAATATCCTTGCCGGAAGGATCATCAGTATATAGAGCAAATCCTGATTGCGTAGGTTTTCTCATTCCTGTATCCTGATTAAGTGTGTTCAAAAATTCTTCAACCGTGGTAGAAGCATCAAACCCAACAACCTGTGCAGACCACATAAATTTTACATCAATTAATTTTGCACCAGACTTGAATATTAGATTTTAAAGTAACAACTATCATGCTGAAAGCGTGAAAGTAACATGTAGAGGACTGGCTTCAAGGATGTTCTACCACCTAAGATGGACATCTATGGATCCAAATCATACAGAAAATATAAATATAGACCTAAGGAGAATTATACAAAGTGTAAAAATAAAAATATGGGTACAATCAAAGAGACATCTTTTCCAAAATAGCACCAGCTGAGTCCTAGAATTACGTTTTCCATATTATTAAGCAGATATATTTAACCTGATCCAGCATCTCTCTCTCTCTCTCTCTCTCTCTCTCTCTCTCTCTCTCTCTCTCTCTCTCTCTCTCTCTCTCTCTCTCTCTCTCTCCCTCTCCCTCTCCCTCTCTCTCCCATTACCATAGACAATGCATCAATGAATAAGATTTTGAGTCTACAATAACTGAAAGATATATTATGGAGCCTGTGAACACTCTCTTCTCCCTGTAGATATACACTATATTTGCTCCTTGTTGTACTTGCTTGGTTGCAATGGATTTCTCTTGTTAGATGAAATCACCAGTGCTCTGAGTGGAAGCTTCAGAAGAAAGAAATTATGTCTATTACAAGCACCACACATAATCATCATTATGTCTTCTGAAGACCACACTAGCCTCCAATGTGACATTCAGAAACCTTCAATACCATAAAACAAATGCACATAAGACCAAAGCCAGTATGAATCATTTATTATAAATTGCTGCAAATTGTTTTTCTAATTAAAATTTATATTCATTTTATCTGGTCAAATGAATAAAAATGTGCACACACAAACATGTATTCAATTGAAAATTATCTATTTATTAATAAGGAGACAATTAATCCTTGAAATCTTTAAATATCTGTGGCATTTGTAATTTTACCTTCCCATTATAATGTTACATTATTTTATGCTTAATTTTACCTGGTATATGCCATTCGTGAAATGTACTGGAATGCTAAAAGGCAAGGAGTGATGGTAGGGATTTCTTAGAAGTGTTGAAAGAATTTCCATTCTTGATGGTCTGGCTTCTCTGTCACCATTCTGTTGTGTTCTTTCTACACATCGTTGACAGTAAATTGCATATTTTCCAAATTCAGTCCTGTAAACACAAAGCAAGTCTTTATGGCTTCATATTTTAAAACTGATGTCAAATGTTAATGTTTAAAAGTGTTTAATATGTCATAGTACAGATCTGTCAATTATATACATGAATTTAGATTTGATATACAGAGTTCCAGACTGGCATAAGGACACCCTCCATAAGTACTTTGCAAATGTGCTGAAGAACTGGGGTTTTTGTTTGCAAGCTATCTTTTAAGTTGTCTGCTTGCTGAAGCAATGAGAACAAGTATATATTTTTTTAAAGCCAGACTGAAGCAGAAAAAATGAGAATTGAGATAAAGTTTTATTACGAATTAAAAAGTCAGAATAAATTTATTTTTAGAAATGTGTGGTTCAAACTAAAGAATAACATAAAGGCTACAAGACAGGGCAAAAGGTACAGCTAAACTGGGAAATCTATTGGTTCATAGCCTGAATCAAAACATGAATGGAATGACTCCATCTTTCTTGTGAACTATGGATTAACCATTTACTGAGTGTCTCCTCTCTTTTAACAGAGAATGGTATTAAGAAAAAGGCAGCCAAATTTCATTCTAGTATTTAAATTTTCAAGGTATATATTATTAAATATTTTATACCTTTCCTAATCTCTTAAAACAGAGCTGTGAAATATATATGTGAAATGCAAAACAGTAATTTAAAAGCTGTACCAGCTCAAGGGTATATGGCACCCCTGGGCCACAATGACTGATGGTGCTACCTGCCAATGCAAAGATTTTCATGTTTAAATTAGTCTTTGTTTTTGGAAGAGGAGGCAGCACTGGGGGGCCTTTAGCTTCCGTACCTTAGGCTAGTGCCTTCTTAGCCTTAGCCATAAGCTGGTCCTACCTCAACAAGCCTATTAAGTTTCCAATTTGGAGCCCCAGTTGGATTTTAAATCCCCCCAAAAAAGAATGCTGGTGACAGCATTCAAGGTTATTTCACTGAGGTCACAATAATAATTAAATTATTATATGTGATAATGTTTTGTTTCTGTGTTACATTCTATTTCAATGTTTCAATAATAAAAAGCAATTTTTAGATTTCAGTGACACTATTCTTCATAAGATATACCTGGAATCTGCATTCTTGTTCAAATGAAGTTTGATAAACCAAAGGAATGGGTGCTGTGGGAGGAAGAGTCCAACACAGAGTGCTAAAAGCTGCCAGGCCTAATCAAGAAAGAAAAGCAGAATCATTGTCTCAAGTTTCTCCCAGGATCAAATTGTCTTCAAGCAAAGCCTATGAAAATAATAGACACCAAACCACTGAGAATCCAGTTTAAAGACATTAGTTTTGTGTATACTTTTGTAAGATTAGAGCGAAGATAAACAAATCAGACAATAGACAGGAGACTACAGTAGAAAGGGGAAAGGGAAAACTCCCATAAAACTCAGATAAACTCCCAAATCTAGTATTAGAAATATAATACATATTTGTTTTGTCAGTTGGTTTAACAATCCAAAACTATTTGTTACATATTATATAATAGTATAATTCATCACAAATTTTCTAGTGTAATTACATACTTCAAATGAATGTAATATAAGTTGAATTAATATAACCAAGACTCAGTCAAAAGAATTTTTAAATGGCAGTATTGCATTCACACAGTACATTTATGCTCAGTTCATTTTGCTGTTTCATAGCTTTTCTATACTCTAGCTTAATGACAGATAATACAGAAAACAGTATATAACAACTGGAAAGGAAAGTAACATTAAGGAATTATCTGGAATGAAATGTCTTTGGAGATGAATCAAGGTTAATTGTTATTTAAGTGAAGTGATAAAATTAAGAGAGTAAAAATAGACTATTTTTATCACATTTTATTGCAATTTTTTTAGGGTTCTAATATGATAGCACCCACTTCTATTAAAAAAAACTATACCATCCATTCTGAGTGCAGGAGTGACAGATATTTGCTATAATATGCTTAGCACCTGAACTGGTCCTATTTGATTTGGCGGCTGTCGTCTTCTTGTTTGTTTTATCAACTGACAACAGATTTCATTCTGAAGCTCTGGATGTGTGAGACAGACTTGCAATGCACTTTGGGCCAAAGACACATGATAGTCAATAGCAGGAGAATCCACAGCAGCATTAATAAACAACTGGCATGTCTAGAAAAAAGCATAACACAAATGAACTTCAGTTGTGTATTTTAAGTTTCAAAGTGCTACATCAACTCTGATTTCATCACGAGTTACTATGATTAAATGACTGAATATTTCAACAGGATATTTTAAGGGAAAAATTCTGAAAAAGTTATTATTGAAAAGGAAAAGTTGCATCATGGTTACCTTGAATAATTTTATAGCTTCTGTTTGCAGAGCCTCTGATGGAAGGGTTGTAAGAGGAGAAGTAATTCCATCTTTGCTATGACAAAGAGTGGGATGCCTCCAGATCTGAGAAGCTGGAAATTAAAAAGGGAGCCCAAACAAATTACCACACATACCCATGTACTACTTAAAAGTCGTAAGTAAAAGTAATAGTAATAGTAGATTGACCTAATAAAGTATTCTGGGGCAAAACTTTGCAAAGTCTTAAATTAAATAATGTCATTTTGGTTGATCCTATTGACACAATTGCCTTATACAGGAAACTGGATTTTCTCTACATCAATGCTATATATGCTTTAGAGAAGCTGATCTCCTTCAACAGTACACCAAAATAATTTATACATAAATACATATTGAAATCAAGAAATATCACAAGATTTTAGGGATTTGCCCTGGAATCTTGCAAGAGTTTAGGCAAGATTTTGTGTGAGAGAATGATTTGCAATTTCATGGAATAATGACCATTTTTTAAAAAACTGGAACCACATATATTCCAGATCACCAACAGTAACCAGCTATCGATTATGAAGAACTGAATTAAAAAATAACAAATTACTTGGGCTATGATAACATGCTTATGTATTACACAAGTATGTGCATAAACTCTAGCATATATGTGTATTTTTATGAAAATACTTATAGTCCAGCATTATATCAATAGACTATTCTGAAGCACACAAAATCAATTTCCATGTTTTTTGTCATATTATTTCATCACAACATTGTTTAATACTTTATATGTTATTTCTTGCAAATGAGCACTGCCCACAAAAACATATATGCTTACTTCAATTGCAAGTGGATAAAACTTCAATATGCACTACTTTAAAGTTCCAGGGAGCAATATATCACTTTTACTGAAAATGTTAATATGCTGCTGCTGCACTCCTGTCTAGTAAATATCACAATGCTACTGACAATGTCAAAAGTTTAAAGATTTGATTAGTTAATTGGGCTGCAGATTATCTACTAAGTCAAACTATGACAGCTAACTTGAAAGGCAGTTTAAATAACCCTAATATGGTTATGTGAAAACTAAAAGAAACGTACTGACAGCATTCCATATATATATATTAAGTATTCATTTAGAAATATTACTCCATGCTCCTGCTGTTATTGTAATAAATGATTTATAGAAAAGAATAATGCATTTTTCTCCAATCTGCAGGCTTCTGAATAATTAGAGACCATCAAGTAAAGTTGGTTGAATTACCCCAATGTTTCTAGATGTAGCATCTTATGCTATGTAATATATTTACAATAACTAAAAAATTAATATACTATTATAAATACATATTTAGATATATCCAACATTAATTCTAAAGAAAATGGCTGCCACATGCATGGGGGCAGGTAAAGAGAGTAAATGATGAATAAGTAACATGATGCCACAATGCAAGTTCTATTCCTTTTCTGCATATGCATATAGATAACAATGTGGAACTTGCATCACAATTTGATTCTATGGACTCTGAGATACCATCAGCTGTTGACTGACTGGCAGCCATTGATGTTTCCTAAAGTAATAGTTAAGGATTATGCAGTTTGACAAAAATTCCATAGTCAAGTTTGTTGCTTATAAGCCATACTATAGAGGCTTTCAACAGTCTTCTTGTATTTGTGATTTAAAAAAAAATAACTAATGGGGCTGCACACACTTTGCAACTGATTTTAAAAAATGTTTTGGAAACTCATACAAGTACTTCTCTGCTCTTCATTTAATCAGCCTGAAAAAATGATTCTGCTGCTTTAAGGAATCCATTCACTCTTAAAGCAGCAGCAATTGTACATCCTGATAACAAGGATTGGTAGTAGAAAAGATGTTGGCTTACTGGGTTCTCCTTCAATATTTAACAGTTTGCAGACAAGCTGTTCAAACTCTGTCCCAACATTTATATTTGTGCTTCCAGCAGCAACGGTGAGATAATAAAGCCAAGTATCCTATGAAATAAAACAAAATTTGTTTCACTTAAAACTCTTTTTTTAAAAAAATATGAAAAACTGCTGATCAAAATGTTTATACATAACTTTAATTTAAAAAATATATTACAGTTCTACAATTCAATTTAATCAAAGTATTAGTTATGTTTATTTCCACCAAGAACCTCAACTGAGATTATCCAATACAAATTTACATCACAAAATGCAAAATAAAGTACGGTACATTTTCTTAGTGCGTAATAAAATTTCTAGTACCTAATCTTTCAGTTTAAATCTTTAAATTATATCCTGATTAGTCTTTCAATATACAATTTATATAGGAATAAGCTCAATTAAACTTAATGGAATTTTCTTCTCAACAATGGAATCTTCTTCTCAACAAATATTCTAGGCAACATTATTATCTGTTAGACAACTTGTAGTGCAAACAAATTGGCAACAATGAAGAAAATATAAAATTGAGTGACAGATAAGAAAATATTATTGTATCTCTCACTCCAAATAGCAAATTAATTATCAACACATAAGTGTGTGTATGTGGACAAAATATAAAATGGCAGAAGAAAGGAAACTTTAGATAGAGATATATGCATCAAATGTGTTGCTGAAAATAAAAACTAAAAAACTAATTTCAGAAAGTCTTAAAAATCTTAAAAACAGATATTCACCACTATTGCAAACTTTTCAATGTACTTTATGACATACTTTAGTCAATTATCCAAATAAAAGAAGTCTGAACTCATTTTAAGATAATTTAGCAAGTTTAGTATCTCACATGGTCATTCTGTTCAAATGTAAAGTAAAACACAGTTACAAAAAGCTTGTCTTCCTCTGATCATGTATACCCACTCCCAAGTATAAATTCTGCTTCTACTTTATCCAAAGTAACTTAGTTATGAATTATACAATCTATCTTCATAAATGATAGTTTGGCTGGCTTCTATCTTTCTGCAACTTTCAACTTCTCCTTGCAGCTCTTTCTAATGAAGGGAAAGCATAATGCTCATTGGAAGTAATTGCTGCTATTGTAAATTATTATGTAGAATTATTCTAAATCTGTTAAGTTCCACTTTATTTCTAAGCTTGGTCCAGATGTGACTTTACTCCTCAATATACAGGTTTTTAGGTGTTTTTTCTGTGAGTAAGTGATGAAAGCTGGCTGCAAAATCTTGGGACAATGGAACATTTGCTACCTTCTCATACTTGGATCCTATTAGAAGATATGTGGGTGCTTGTTCCTTAGGATGGATGACAATGGTAAAATGTGTTGATAATAAGCTGCGACCACTGGCTTCATAATCTTCATCTGAATCACAGGATCGATCAACTTCTTCAACTTTAGCTTCTAATAGCTTTATCTGGCCCAAGGGAAACTAGAAGTAAAGGCATTTATATTAGAACAGAGCTGTATTAAAATCTAGTTCATTAATCTTGCTATGATCAAGTTAAGCATACTTCTCACTCCATGACTGAAACTAGACAGACTTCACTGAAAACATGATTTGATTTTATTCTGCTTATTTTAGTTACAACGGTGCATAATTAATGGGATAGGGAAAAGATTAAGAAATGATGAATTCCTCCTTTCAGTGTTTAACTGGCTAAAGTGGTTGCAAAACAGAACTTCACTTACATATATGTGTCCTTTGTGTGTGTATATATTTATATATATGTGTGTGTGTGTATATATATATATTTTCCTGCTTATCTACACCGGTTTTCCATTCTCCAGAATTGTAATTCATATGGAGAACCCTCAAGGACAGTGGAGATTCTCCACTGCAAAAACACTCATGTTCTACATGTAAAGGTGACAAGAGATGAGAGGACTAGTTTGCTTATCCTGTTCCCTCTTGAACCAGTACCTTCTTCCTCTCTCCTGTTTCTGTTTCAGCCACTTGTTTTGGGGGGGCGGGGCGGGACTTACAGTAGATTGAAAATAAGAGAATCTGAATAAATGTCTGGATATATATTCTTACATGTATAGACTATGCATGTGGACATGGGAATTTGTTTTAAACACACTTAAATATAAAGTACACAGTACATAAAACAAAAGGAAGTCTCTGAAAAAAATAGGTTAAGGTATAAAATCTTAATATATCTTAATATAAAACCTGATATAAAATCATGGCTCACCAAGGTAACTTATAATTGCTTAATACATAAAAAAATACCTTGTCTTCATGGCTGCGGAAATAATATAAAGTTTTCCCAACCAGCATACACCACACTGTTTTGGAATATCCATGTTTCACCTGCAAATAAAATGAAATATTTTATGCAGAAGGGCAATGAAAGATTCTTTTTTATCCTGTATTTAAAACATTATAGTACTGGGCTACAGTACTGTAACAAAGCTACAATTCTTCCGCAAAGTGCTGTATTTATGAAAACTTTGATGAAGCAATGACCAAAAAATAGGCACACAATTATATAACTGAGTTACTTTTATAGCTGAACTTTTATATATAGTACATATAAAACTGATACGAAATATAAATAGTTAGCTGCACTTGAACATACAAGAAATAAGCGCCTTAGCCTCATTCTGGATTCTTTTTCTGCCTTGACATGATTCAAATCAGTAGTTTTCAGTTCAATTTTAGATTAATCTTTAGACAAAGTTTTTTCCTATGACAATCTGTGGAAACAACACTGGATTTGGAAGAAACAGGACAGAAAGAGTATCAATGCAGTTGAACATCATGTACTAGAGAAAATTTTAAGGGTATAATGGGCAGCCAAATGGATCGAAGAATAAATCAAACTGGAATTTTCATGCATAGTATTAATGACCAGACTTAATGACTATCATTTTGGACACATCATGTGGAGACCCAATTACCTTTATGTTGGAAAAGTTAAAGCAAAAAAATAAGGAGGATAGCCAGTGCCAGTGTAGATGGATTTGATTAGAACTGTATCTCTAAGAGACCTAAATTGAAGACAGACTATTCTGAAGAAAATCTATCCATGTCGTCTCTAAGAATTAACACAAACATGATAGTATTAAATCAATCAATTAAAGGTTTATAGTCCTGTCGAAACCTAAGCAATCTAAATTTAATTGTGGTCATTTGAAAATAGATAACCCCATTAATAGAAGCATTGCATTAGTTCTTTTCAACAACTATACCTTTTCTAACTTCAGATGAAATGGCAAAAAACTTCTGAATATAGTTGCAACAGAAGAAGGAGGAGGATCACGGGAGTTTAGGTTTCATGTTATACTTGGGGAACCTTATAAAAAGGAGATTTTCATTACAATGCTTTTTGTGTATTTTTTTTTAAATATACCTTCCTGGTAATATTTTACTCCTATTTTTTGCAAATCTGCTTGGAACACAAAGACGGATTTCAAGTGCTAGGTTAATCTTAAAACTTTCCCAAAAACTGGCATTTCATTAGCTAACTTTTAAAATGAATTAAAGAGTAATAGCTAACTAAAAAGAGCAATGAATTTTTAATACCAAACCAGTGGCTACTTTCCTCCAGAAATAAATAGCATGAGAAGTTTTCTTCATAAAGGCAGAAAAAGAAGCATTACATTTTGTACCCATGCTTGCTGATATCCCAATACCTAGCTGATATTATCTGCATTTTAAAAAGGTCCCTGATTACATGCAAAGACATATTAAATGGTACTTAATTTAGCCTCCAGAATTAACAGGAAAAACCTAAAGTATTCCAAACTTACCCAAGTAGTAATGAAAAACAAGAACTAATCCCCAGCCTTATGGGAATTATTTATGTATCTGTTTATTTAAAAAACAATTTTACCATTTTCCGTATCAAAGCAAACAGGATAGGAAGGTTATTACCACCAGAGCAGCCATATATAGTACTGTAGTTTCTGAATCTTCTATTCATTACATTCAAGAAATATAGGAACCAAAAACCAAAGGACATAAATAAAATTAAATCCAATAAGGCTTTGCTGTCCCTAGCAAAAAATTCCCAAACACACCCAAACCTGCATATTTCTTTAGTGCCCTTCTGCTCCCTTAAGAGTAGTGAAACTTTCATGAGACATAGGCCTATAAAACCCTTTGTTTTTAAAAAAAAATCCCCAATTTTTGGATTACTAATTTTTACCAATTAATAATCCTGAAACGTAACAGTAATTTAATTTTTTGATGTAATTAATAAAATTAAAATACCCAGTTTTCTAAACAAAAACTCTTGAAATATAAAAACAAAATAGAAACATCAAGAAAAAAAATAAAGTTGTCTTTTACCTTAGTAAGCAAGCCTTTCACTGCTGGTTTAACATCTGGTTGAATAAAAAGTGGGCTCGCAGCTTGTACTTTAAGGACATTTTGTAATACTTTGATCCAATCTTCTAAGATATTTGGGGAATCTGCAGTCATGTAATAAGTTCGCTTTTCTGTAGTCAGCTGAGGAGCAATAGAAACAGAACACTTTGACTCAAGGTAACTGGAACATTTTTACCTGATTGGTACCAATATAAAACATTATAATAAATGAAATGAAGGTTATTAATGTGTTTATATCTAAATCTTTGATGGGAATTCAAGGTGGTCTTTATAGGTCTTTCTCAACCATATTTTATCCTCATTAAAATCATATGACATACAGGTTAGTCCTGGACTTATAACCATTCATTTAATGACATTTCAAAGTTACAACGATGTTAAGAAAAATGACATGACTTAAGACAGCATCTTTGCAATACATAATCATGGTTTTGGTGCTTTGCTACCAACATGTATTTGCAATGGTTGCATTGGCCCAATGTCATGTTATCGCCCTTTGTGATCTTTCCAGGGAGCTTCCAAAAAGCAAAGTTATTTGGGAAGCCAGATTCACTTAATGGCTACATGATTGGCTGTGGCAAAAAAAAATAATAGTAAAATCAGGTGCAACTCACCTAATGATCACATCACTTAGTGACAGTAGTTCCAGTCCCAATTGTAGTCATAAGCTGAGCACTACTTATAATTAAGGCTGGTGACAATTGTCCAGGATCATGCTATAAACTTTGTGATTTTAATTTGGTCTACCAAATTAAAGTCCTAGTCCAAAATTCTAATCTAGGCAATTGTTAGGAATTTAAAATTATCAAAACCATTTATTATAAATGTCTTAATAACTGTTTTAGATCATAAATTCATGTTTTGTCTTCAAAATTCCTATAGACGCCTAAACAGGACAGGAACTCATTCAGGTACATTTGAAAGTATTAAGGGTCAGATTCAGAGGAAAGATCTTCACTGGCTCTTCTTTGAATAAAAAGGGATGGAGGGTAGATTTGGAAAAGGAGGTCAGTCTATTTTCATCCCTTGTGCCAAATGATCAATAATCTCAAAGATAAACTTCTGGAAGAGTGTGAAAGAAGGTGGAAACAGAGTTGCCTATCTTCTCTTTATTCACAACTTCATTTTGAAATGAAAATGGATTGTGCTTTGTTTCCCACATAAACAGAGAATGTATTCAATAGTTCCAAGGGTATATATATATATATATATATGCCTGTATACACACCGTACAAATTCCCCCAGAATGTACACATACTTTCTGAGACACATAGGGAAATACCCCATCTTTGCCCAGCAAGTTTTTCCTAATGGTTAGGAAGGAACAAAGATGTCATTCAAGTCTGAGACCCCATTCAGATATCCTATCTCTTTACCTCGTTTTTTCTCAGCATGGTTCCTACCTATTACTGATTCCTTTTGTTTTGCCTGAGAAATCGCAGTTGATGCAGATTTCAACTAAAATAAACTTCATTAAGCAGCACTTCTAATAAAGCACTATCCATATAAATACATATAATTGTGTATCCCAATGGGTTGTTCAGGGAGCACTGCTAATGGGGAAGCTTGTTTCAGTCAAATCTTACTTTCCTATAACCACAAATGAAATCTGGAAACTTGCAACTGTCCAAGATGTTTACCAGTATCCAGTGCTTTTTTTCTAAAAAAAAAAAAAAAAAAGGTGCCGGAACTCACACACGTCATACAACCTGCCTTGCCTACCCTACAAGGTTCCATCCCAAAAAGGTGCCAGAACTCTGTTCTGGGTGTTCTATGAGAAAAAAAGCCCTGCCAGTATCTATTTCTTCATGAATAGTTTGTAATATGATCACAAGTAAGTTGGAAGAAAAAGGGAAAACTACATCCTGGTGTACACATGACTGCTATTCTGCTGTCCCATGAAACACATTAAATTAAGGAAATACCTGAACTGTTTGTTTTCCATCACCTCTTACAATATGGCTGGATGCACTTAATTCAATTTGACCTTGGGGTTTTCTTATTACATCACTCTATGGGACAAAAAAATGTGATAAGTGACTCTCCTGTGCAGTACCAATAATCATCAACCATATATCAAAGCAAAAAGCTGAAATTCATTTTCAGATGGTTGGACATCATAACCACTTTTCGACTGATGGAATTTTTTTTATATTTTACATATTTTGGCATTTAAAATAATATAGGCTTATAATTATTTATAAGGAATTTTGGGAGGTTTAAACATAATCCCTTTTTTTTCAACCTGCATTTACAACAATCTTCTGAAAACTAAGAAGTAACTATGTAGTGGCATAGCTCTCATTTTCTCAGAGCATACAATTCCCACAACCACATCAAGGTAAGGGATATTATTATTATTCCATAATAATTATCTTGATTCATAACAGTCACTGTCCATTGATTCCTAAGTGGCTTGGATGAATGGAAAAATACGGGAAGGAGAGAAGAGTTCCATACTTTATTGAAGAATATCACAAAAGGAATAGAGAAGGGGATAACTGGAGAAAAAAATAAGATGGTGAGGAAGAAAGAAATTGAAATATGATAATCTAAATGTAGCCAGTGAATGTCCTAAGGTCATTCTTGAGTGCATGAGGATTACAGCCCTGGTTTTTTAAACTTCATCAGAGAGCAGAGTCCAGAGGAAAATATACTGAATTGGTTCCAAGAGCATTGAGAGTCACTAAACTTTCATATACTATATTAAAGCACTGAATAGTAACAAGATTTCTAGAACAGATAACAAAACTGCTAGATCAGACTTCTGCTGCAAATGTTTGGCACAAGAAATAATTCTATGCAGCTTTCAAAATTGTGAAAAACACTACCTTGTTTACTACTCGGTTCAAATTAAAATTTATTACATATATTGTCTCATAAATATGGCTGAAGAACAAACCCTCAGAGAAAAGAGATTTCAGGTAATCAGTTATTATACTTTAGATCAGTTCAAAAATAAATTGTTGTATAATGATTCAGTAAAGAACACAGAGAAACACAATCTAATCTTATAATTTGTACTTGCTTACCGGAGATTTATAGTAAAGCAATTCACCCCCTTTGAGTACAAACCATCGTCGTTTCCAAGTCTTAACTTTACCACTCATTTTTAACAAGTATCCAGATTTCTCTAGAAGTTCCTATGGTTTACAAGAAAAAAATTAAATGCTAAAATTATTTGTGATTAATGTACTATGAATCGATGAACAGTATTTCCAACCAAAATTATATTTAAGGTGCTAATAATACAAAATTAGGAAAATTACTCATAGACTCATAACATATATTTTTAACTAAAAAAAATTAAGAACAAGAATTAAAAATGCAGCACACCTAATCAATGAAATCTATCTTAAGCAGACCAATTTATTATGAATATTATTTTCTATGACCAGAGGAATAACAGTAAAACATCTAGGCTTACATTTTTTAAGTCTGTAAAGAAGTCCCTCTCTCTTATTTTGCTAAAATAATATAGATCACTGATGGTGCTAAAACGTAAAAGGCCTTTCATGCAAACTTAAAGCTGAACAAAATTTATATGGAACAACTCAATCTTTCAAATAGCCACAACTCTGTTCATAGATCAAAATCTGATTTATAAAACAATAATAGTATGGTTACACAGGAAATGCATAGATGCCATAGAATTACTCCCAAATCAATAGATTCAGAGTATTGACTGGGTCAGATGAAGTTTCTAAATTCTTTTCAAAGAAATCCACTGATAGAGCATATTACAGTAATCTATATGCAATATAATTAAGCCATGTATCATAATGTCTCATTTGGACATTATTGGCAGAATTGACTGGCCAAATGCTAGCCTACCCAATACCCAAATTTAAATTTAAATTCAGGCAGAATCTAAACAACCTGCTTAAATTGCAATCAATTTTCAAAAGAATGTAAGTGAATTCAGCACAAGTTAAACCCTTATTCCCTAATCATCATTTAGGATGACCAGCAGTACCTTTGTATTGTCAGGATTAAATTTCAGTTTCCTTGCTCTCATTTACTTCATATCAACATTAGAAAGTGATTTATAACTGTGTTACTTTGCTAGATATCAATCAGAAAAGAGTTCAGTTGTACCAAACCCTAAAATTTCACAAAACTCTCCCTATGTTTCATATATTGTATATGATTAACAGCATGAGAAAGGAAAAAGAATGTTAAAGTATAACATAAGTAAAACGTAATCACACCATATACAAAATAACTAGCACCATCTTCTGAAAGAAGGAACAAAGCCACCATAACCACCATAAAACAATGTTTAACTTTAATTTCAGTGAGGTGATTCAGTTATATCATAGTCAATGGTCTCAAAAACTACTGACAGGACCACTGGAATCAAGAGACATATAACCTCTGTCCAGTTCTTTATACATAGATTCATATATTGTATATGATTAACAACATGAAAAAGGAAAAGGAATGTTAAGTTATAACCTAAGTAAAATGTAATCATGCCATATACAAAATAACCACCACCATCTTCTGAAAGATGGAACAAAGCCACCATAACCACTTGGCTATCAAAGCAATCCCATAATTTAGGTAAAGTGATGGGTATTTTGTATCTCTGTTGCCATTAGTGATTCTCCAAAGCTCTGCAGCCAAGCCTTGGTAGCCGTACAGTTCTGATGCTTGGAGCCAGATTGAAATAGAAAGATGCTGGAGTGTACTTACATTTTTTCCATTATCACTAGACGATGAACAGGTTTTAGGCAATTTTTGTTCTGGTTCTGAGTAATCTGTATCAGTTGAATAGGCATCAGGAGGAATGGCATAGTCACCTTCTGAAGTCATTGAAGACAGAGAGACCCCTGAGTGCAAGAGAAATGAATATTAATATGATTAAGAACCCAATTGATGGGTTTCATGGATAGACTACATTGCATTATGAAATATAGAAGAAATTAGAATTTCAGAATACTCATTCCTGAGAAAAAGAAAACATAAGGAGAAACTCAAAATAACACTACCCTGATTATGTTTGGTTGAAGAAAAGGCAGAGAGCAACTATGACAGAATTTCAAGTTTCTGTTATGCTACCCACAACAATGAAGATCTGTGCCGTGCTTGTTTCTTGACCTTCTGACTTTGAAGGGTTGGTACAACCCTACCTACGGCCTTAAATGGTGGAGAAGATTCTGCTGCTGCCACATATTTTCCAGATGCTGCCTGTCCTGGAGTCTTCCCCCTATCCCAACATGTGTGACATTCCCCTGGGGGATTCTGGGAGTTGGTCCACACATCTTCAAGTTGCCAAGGTTGAATAACACTGGTTTAGAAGTTTCAGTCCTCCTTGGTAAACTGATCCTCCCAAGAGATAAAATTAAATTTATTTTTTTCAAAACAATAAAGCATATGAAGCATATTTTATTTTTAAATGCATTTACAAAGATACATGCAGTGTTCCAGGCAGACCACATACAACACGGGTGTCAAACTAGCCACGTCACGTGACGTATCATATCTCTACTCTTTTTGTATTGCCGGCAATAGGGTGGGTGTGGCTTCGGTATGATGAAACCGGCCCGCGGGCCAGCAGTTTGACACCCCTGACATACAAGGTTCCAGGCAGACCCTATGGATGATGTTAGTCTGGTACCAATGAATGTTTTCTCCCTGTGAGATGGAAATTGTTGCAATGTGGCTAACTAAAAGAATATAAATAAAATCAGCAATTTCCTGCCAAACCTAAAGAATCAAACGAAAGAATGAAATACACACTCAAATGTTTAAAATTATACAGAAAAATAAAAACATTAGATTGTATAATAGAAAATTAAATTATCAATAACTGATTCTTTTATTTAAAACTGTATTTATAGCGATGGACGTTTATCTGATGTTTTCTTAGATTCCTAGAAAATCCAAACTTTAATCAGAAGCTGTTCGCTGGAATGTTGGAAGGCTGGAATGTTAACCCTTCTTGTCTTCCTTCCGTTCTCTTGGAATTCTGTCTTTGCCTTTGACTCAGAAGAGGCTGGGATATCTCTCTGTGTTTGTGGCAGGGAGAGAATCTCTTCCTTATGAGCATGTGGTTTCTATAACTGGCAAGCAGCCTTATGAATGTCTAGCATAAAAGGCTACATTCACATCTCTTCTGTGAACAGCAGTATTGTGAGTTGGGGCGTATTGTTGAGGAATTGTTGATCTAAATACTTTGGTATCTTTGTAATAATATTATTTTCTAAAAAAAAGAAATATCATCAAGCGCTTCTAATTTAAAAAAATGAGAGTCAGCATGGTGTTGTAAGTAAGTTCTGAACTGGCACCATGTCTTCACACAGCCATGGAAGCTCACTGGTACTTTGTGCCAGTGACAGTCTCTCAGCCCAACCTACATCAAAAATTGGTATTAGAAATTCATCTTGTAAGGCAGCAATTTAAATGAAATTTTCCTTTTTTTCAACCTGTAATGAAAACTATCTGTTTAATCTATTCCATTAATAATAGCACCTTTTTAATTTCATCTGTGCTAAAGGTTATAATCGTTGTTTTGTTATAAATTCTGCCTACCTCGTTTCATAGCCCGTGGGCTACCAGGACCACTTCTGCTTCGAGAATCTGATTCAGATGTCCGTGAACTGGATTGGGAACCCTCTTCTTCAGACCCAGAGGAATCATCTAAGAATGGGTTGTTACTGATTTGTGTTGCTTTCTGATAAAATCAACAAGCCATTATTTAAAATTGTTAACTGCAATAGTAAAAAAAACACAGCATAATAATAATGATATATAGTATTCATATGGGGTTTTTTAGACAAGAGATTGCTTAGAGTAGACTATGGTTATATAAATAATTTTTGATCATTAACAGGTTGCTTTTAAAATATTTTTATAGGTAGAAGATTAAATTTGCTGCTGTATTAAAAAATTGATCTATTTCATGACTTAGTTATATTTGCTAGATATAGCCTATATATCAGGGTGTTAAACTGCCGGCCCGCGGGCCGGTTGCATTATACGGAGGCCGCACCCACCCAGCTCTGGCAATGCAAAAAAAGTTGTGATACATTGCGACACGTCACGTGACGCGGCGAGTTTGACACCCGTGGCCTATACAAAACTACACTGAGAGTTGCATTTTCATTGGTATGCAGGAGGTTCCACACTATTAAGGCATGTCCCAGAATATTGTGCTGTATGATATTTCGAACTTGGCTCCTTCTCACCTATGTCCAAAAAGAGACATGGAAAGACATTAACTCCTTGCTATTATTCATGTATCGCTAGATAAAGATTTTTTGCATCTAAGTATACTCAGGGCTTTTTTTTGTCATAGAATGCCCAGAACGGAGTTCCAGCACCTTTTTTTGGATGGAACCTTATAGGGTAAGGTTTTATGACCTGTGTGAGTTCCGGCCCCTTTTTTTTTTTTTTTTTTTACAAAAAAGCACTGAGTATACTATTGTAGGTTGCTATTCAATATCAGTTTCTTTGCATTTCCATTCTTTTAGTCTGGCTCTGAATTTTTTTTCTACTTCAGCTTTCATATTTGGCATCTTCTATATAAATAAAAATGTAAATGTTCGTTTGTTCAAAATCTTAAATCTCCGAAACTTCTTCACCGATTGCTTTGAAATTTTGACACAACGTTGCATTCGAATACGCGTGTTTTTTTATATACCTATATTATATAGATGTCACACCTGTGACAGGTAAAAACATGCTTTTTTGAAAAACAGCACCATCTGTTGGACGTAAAAGCAACACAAACGTGCGCTTTCTCTTTTCTTTCTTTTCCATTTAACCAGACTGAGCCACAGCAACACATGGCCAGGTACAGCTAGTATTAAATAAAACACGCATTCTGATTCCATGTCAATACACTGTAGCTCCAAGTTAGTGGAATGTAGATAACAGCATGTTGTACCATTGCAAGGTAGTTTTTAGATGAGAGAGAATAAAATTTAGAGCTAGAAGTGCTTGCAACTGAGATACATCATGTTTGAGCAACAGAAATACATCCTGGTTATTATTAAGATAGCTACTCTATTACTTTTTCAAAGGAGCAAGAATTACTTTTCCAGGTCGAGGAGGGGAGGGGAAGGAGGGAGGGAGGAAGGAAAGAGCATATTCTGAATGAACATAAACACAAGAAGACACATTTTTAAAATATTTCTCCAAGCATAATTGTAAAAAAAATGGTTACCCCTTTAAGAGTGGTATAAACTGGTGTAGTCATGTTCTTATATATTAATGATGTGTAGAGTCCTGATGGAGAATATGAAGATGAAGAGGAGGAATCTGAAACCAAGTTTTTTTAAAATAAATTCAGAGAGTACTGAGTGTATAGTTTTTTTTAGTTTTTTAAAAAATCAATTAATTTGCTGAATAGGTAGCCTGGGAAAAAACTTATATAAAATTAGTTTATATCTTTTATTTAAAAATACATATTTCAGATCGAAAACTCAAATTCAAAAAGTATACACACATACAAATGAACTACAGCCAATATTTACTAATGCTGGCTATAATAAATCCACTAAAAAGTCATTTTTTCTTTGGGAGTCATGTTTAGATGTTCAGGACCTTTGAAATCCCAAAGAGTGTCAAGTAAAGTTTTTTCTTCCCTGATTATGCTAACTGAAAAGGAAATCTTACAGTATTCAAAGGGACTTGCCTCAGCAATTCAGTTTAAATAATTATTGTAATAACTTACTTTTATTGAAGGAGTCCATGTTGAAGACCTCAGAAAAGCACAGACCTGATTTGGCTACAGCATAAATTCTGTTTTCCTGAAGAACAAAGAATTGCTATTATATTGTTTCTAGCAACATTAAATTTATGTTTCTATTATAAGCAGTTTGTTTTTCTCTAAGCGGTTTATAGAGTCAGCATATTTCCCCCAACAATCTGGCTCCTCATTTTACCGACCTCAGAAGGATGGAAGATTGAATCAACCTTGAACCCATGACAGTCAAACTACTAGCAGTCGGCAGAATTAGCCTGTAATACTGCATTCTAACCACTGTTAGCTTGTATGTTAAGGACTACCTGTATGTAAAGGATAAAGATTGTCTTTTGTCTTTTGTCAAGCTTGCTTCCTGATAATCACATGGACATGCTATAGAGCAGAGATCCCCAATCTTTTGGGCACCAGGAACTGGTTATGTGGAGATTTTTCCGCGGACAGGAGGGGGCATGGTTTTGTGTGCTGCCTGCATCCTGTGGACGGGGCTTTCCTTGTTTGTGTAGACTGGTTGCTGGCATGCCACGGCCCAGTACTGGTCCACAGACAGGGGGTTGGGGACCCCTGCTATAGAGGTGTTTTTTTTTTAGCAATGACACAGAAATGGTGTGCCTTCTTGGATGGTTTTTATAAATCCAAGTGCTGGGATTTCCTGATAATATCCCATTCAAGTATTAACTAGGTTGAACCCAATTTAGCTTTTTTGAGAACAGCCAAAGTCAAGTAGCTGCTACCATCTACTATCTGTAGTTAATTTTAATAGAGAAGAATTGCCACTAATCTTTTCAGAACAAACTGTGAGAAAAATTATCTGCTATGGTGGTGTGACAACATTAAAAAAGGAAAACCCATACCTATAAAACAAAATAACAATGGAACTTGAGTAGTTAAATTAATCTGGAATATTATTATATTATTATATCTATTTTACTTACCCAAGAGGGGAATCGATGGAGTGGAGGAGTAGGAGGTTTACTGTTAATCATCTTCCCTGAATCGCTCAAATCCAGGGTTTCTATATCTTTCATTTCACAGCAATCATAAGTAAATGATTCCTCATTACAACTAATCTCCATCTTCTCAAAAACTTCTGTGTCATCTCCATCTACCTGATCAATGTCTGTTTCCTGAGGCTTAAAAGGCCGTATCATGCTTATAGCATTCCTGTTTTTGCCAAACAGTTTGTCTGAACACAAGGAAGGCTGGCTAAAATGTTTTTTGGCCAATGCTGTACTCAGAATAAAAGCACTTGGAGTCCTCAGTTTGGGCGGTGGCAGATTAGATGGAGAATCAAGCAGCTTGCCAGACTGAGAGCTTGCTGCCAGCATCAATGATGGATGCTTAGGAGCCAAAGATGGGGTCAAAATTGGACTTGGAGTATTTGCTTCACTAGAAGAGGATGAATAATCTAGCCTGTGGGATTGAAATCTCTTATTCAGTTCATCTGAAAAGCTATCATGACTTTTTTTTTCACTGAATGATTTCAAGTTGCTCTTTCCAATTAGATGGTTCTGATTTTTCCATGAAGACTCTTGTTGCCAGGAATATAGTTTATGTACATTTCCCTGAGCTTGAAAACTTTCTTCTTCCAACATGGAACTACTGTCATCTGATGCTGTCAAATACATTTCGCTCCCTATTCTACTGTACCCTGTGCCTTCTTCAGATGTGTGACTTGAAAATGTAGATACACATCTGGATTTCAATCTTCCTTTGCTTCCTTCTTCATCAGAGCTCCAGTCACTGACTGTAATGCAAGAATTCTTTGATATATTATTATCTATATCTTTCGACTTTGCTGCCATCCTTTGTTCAGGAATGCAAGTATTTTGCTGCAATGGTTTCAGACTTCTATTATTTCCATGTATTTGTCCAGCAAGGGCTGTTTCCTGAATTTCATTCTCTAGACACCAGGAGACAGTGACAACATTGGACAAAATTGTAACACACATCTACAAATAATAAAAATTAAAATCTATTTTGTTTTCAGACAAGGAAATTATAATAGTACATACAAATAACATATGGGATTGTATAATAGTGCTTTCATATAGAAGACTCCTAATACCAGTAATCAAAAGATAGTAGAGATATTCCAACTCCTCTTAATTGATTTACTATGGTAAGAAAAAGGAAAATAGTAGCCGGGAGAGGAACAGAGCAAGATCCATGAATAAAGCAGCATCACTGCTGAGCAAAAACCTTATTTTTAAGCATATTAAGACAGGAGAATTGACAGAGGCAATCTAAGAAATTCAGCAGAACAAAGTAGCAGAGAAGACAATATAACATAAGAATGCAGGTAAAGACATCAGTTTTAATGCTCCTCTGGGTTCATAGAGACAAATATTCCCCAAACAAGTAAAAATTAGCACAGAGTGGGAAAGACCAGAATTTTTCCCCAGATGAAATATAACATTTTCCTAGTTACTATTTTAAATGAGAAAATGTTCTAAATTCTACTTTGTAGGTGCCGTAGTACAATCCACTCTGCTATATTATTTTCTACATATGAAGATTAGTCCTGCTTTCACATAATACTATAGCAACTCAATACTGTTATAGCCATGAAAAACATTTTTGATGAATGATGAAAAGTATTTAATTACTTTATACCTGCCATGGAAGAATATCTTCTACGCTTGCATTAAGAATAAATATTGGAAACATAGTTTATCAGTAACTAGTGATGATGTAATATTTTAAATACTGATTGACCAACTCAATGCTCCTGAACAGGAGTAAGGACACTGATTGTAACACTGGTTCTATTATTTTAAACGGTTAGGTAATTAGAATTTAGTTCTAGGTCTGCAGCATACGCTTACTTGCAGCATATGCTTACTGATAATTATACTAGCACAAGGCTGCAAGATATGACATTTTCCCAATGTTGTGGACAACATAATTATTTAGTAGCATTAAATTAACATAAGGCTGTTTTTCCTGTCAACATAAGACTTTTCAGTATAACTGACACAAATAAGAAAGTCAAATCAGAAGTATTAATAAAGTGTTGGACTAAGGGATTCAGGTTTAAGTCCACCTATGTTCTTTTGTCATAAGAGGTTCACTGGTAACCTTGGACTGGTCACTTTTTCTCAGCCCAGCCTACTTCACAAGTTTTTGTTGTGGAGAAAAACAAGTTGAAGTACTGTATATGCTATATTGAACAATCAAATGAATGATAGGCTATTAATTAATTTAAACAACCTAATTAGCATTCCTGCTTTTAATAAAGTACTGCATATCACTCTTTCCCAAACCAATTCCCTTAGGAACTGAGGGATCTGACTCTTTTCCTCCCAGGCATACAATTTTCAATGGAAAACCCTTAATTTGCAGGATTAATATAGATTCCTTCCAGAGAAAAAGGAAGTTTACATATTCAAATCCCGAGCATTTAGGATTGTTTGAGGACTGTAATATAAGTAGGGATTATCTTGGAAGCAAGTTACATTTAAATAGATGGAAATTACTCCTTAGCACACCTTCTTAGGATTGAATTGCTAGAATAGCGTTCTAGAACTTAAAATACCTAGACTTTTGGGATTTTCGTTAAGATCAACTTGTTTTGAGGCAGAACTGCTTGCATTTTCAGGTTTAGGAACTTGTTGAGGACTTCTTGCTCTGTTTAAGAAGCATCCAAAAGTCAAACTGCTCAGTCGCTGGCCTTCTCCCGGTTTTTGTGATGAAGAAACAGACTTCTTCCCCTGAAGCTCTGTTCAAGTAATAATTTAAATATCAGCATTTAATGTGATGCAACAGTAGATTATTTATTTTAAAAGCTGAGAGGCTGAAGTTTTGATATTGCAAGTAGTCCTCAGCTTATGATGGCAATTGAGACCAGAACTGCTAAATCACGAGTATCAAACTCCATTGCATCATGTGACATATCATGATGTATCGCGACGTTTTTTGCCTTTGCGGAGCCAGGTGGGCGTGGCCTGAGCATGACACATCAACCCTGCGGGCTGCCAGTTTGACACCCCTGTACTAAATGATATGGTTATAAAGCTTGATGTCACATGATCATGTCACTTAGTGACAGCAATCCCTGCAGGTCTAATCGCTGTTATTAACTGAATTCCACAGTTGTTAGGTGAGGCAGCTTTTTGCTTGCTTCGCACAACCAAAGTCAGTTAGGAAGCCAGCAGAAAGCTGCAAGTCCCAGGCCTGCAGGTGAGTAAAGCGATGTGTGGGGGTAAAGAACATGGTGAGGATTAGGGAGGATATACAAGAGTGACAGGGAATACATAAGAGATGCAACAAGAGTTCGGGAGGGGATATAGGAGTGTGGCTTGGGTCAGAGAAAATATGTGTGGATGTGATGCAAGTCAGGAAGGGTGTACAAGAGTAAGTAGGGCTATATAAGTGGCGAGCCCAGTGAAGCACAGAGGGGCTATAGGCAGGTGTGTGGGTGGAGGAGACTTATCTAGCAATTTATTATTTTCCTTGCCAGATTCCCCATTGACTTTCCCCCAAATCAATGAGTAGGCCAGCAGGGAAGGTTGCACATGATGATCACGTGATTGTGGGGTACTGCAATCGACTTAAGTGTAAACTGGTTGTCAAGCATTTTGATCGCAATCATGTGATTGTGCTAACTTTGAATGGTGATTGAACAAATGGTCATGGGTTGAGGACTATCTATATTTATGATATTTCTGTTTAATACTATGTACCTTCTTAAGTTTAATATTGGTTTCATAGTGTATTTTACCATGGCTTTAGAGAAAAGAGGTAATTCAGAAATAAAGATTGGGTTCACCATAATCTGTAATTTAGAAACCACAATGACTGGGTCACATAATACTTCAGTCCAAAAGCAAACAAAATTCAATGGAGTAAACCCAAACACTGTACATTATTTCAAATGGAAATAAAAAAAGCCTTCCAGTTTTTATTATCCCTTCATCCTCCAGCACATTATAGACCACTAGACCACCCTTTAGCAAAACCTTTACAAAGTTATAGATGGTTATACTGTGGAATAATGTTCTACTTTGGAATTTCTAGGCACAACTGTTTTCGTGCTTGCTGTAGTACTGGATACAATCTATAATAAAGACATACTCAAAGAGTTAACCCCAAGTTCCTTAATTATGGAACACAGTTGTGTTTTGAAAATTTGTACCCCCTACCTTGTAATTTAGTCTGCAACAGCTTAATCTCTTCAGTTTGGTTTTGATTGATCGTACGGAGGTTCTGATTCTCTGTTTCTAGCTGAAAACATAGATAAATGCCCCATTCATAAGTACAGTATTGAAAAAGATTGTATCCAAAGGAAAGCTATACTTTCCTTACATCTCATATGGTATTATTTCCAATCTCACATCCATTTTCCTGGCAATAAGTTCACCAACTTGGTTGGGCTTACATTTAAGTAATTTACAAATGATTGCAGTGCTAAGCAGTATATTTAACTCAAATAGTTTTGGTATATCTAGGAGTAATATGAATGAAAGACTATAGAACTCAGCCTCAGATCCTATGTCAAAGATCTTCTATTTTAAATAGTTTTTATATATTATGATTATTATTTTTTAAAGATAAAGTTATCAGAATATTTTTGTTCTACAGAAATAAAATAAAATGTATTACGTTTTGTAGACACAATCAACAGAAAAAAATTATTTGAAAAAATTGAAAGCACAAATAATAAACCCTCATTATAGGCAACTTTGCATATTTCAAAGCAAGGCATTTTTTCATATAGGAATTCACAGCCTTAGTCTTGTGAACAGGTCCACAAAAACTTTTAAACAGATTATTGACTAGATAACATAGAACTGGCAATTATCCACTAATAGATCCTAATGAACTAATATAATTATTTCATTAAGGCTTTAACTTGTCCTGAGCTTTAAGATATCATTTTATTAGCAAAGGAACTGTGAATTTTAGAGTAAAGAAACCCTCAATGTTACAGCAGTTTGTAAAAGGAAGGGTTAACTTCATATTTTATTTACTTTATACCTAAATCACAAGGCTGAGAATTCTGTTGCTCATATACAATCTAATATGTATAAATCTTGGCTCTGTTGTCTAGGGCTGCTGAGTGTTATTGTTCAGCACATGGAGTGACATTATTTCCATATCACTCTTACACGAGTGATTTAAGTGGTTTAAGAGTTGTTACTTAGGAAACTTACCTCATGAAGCTTGATAGTCACCCATTCCTTAATCTTAGCTGCTTTTTCTTCTATAATTTTAGCTTCTTGTATTCTGATTTCCTTCTGAAACAAGAAGATGGGCTTTTGTGTAATTTGCATTCTTGTCCATAACAATGCACTTTATTCACCTAAAACAGAAGGCGCAATCTTTTTCAGGCTAAGGACTGTACTTAGGCTTTAATTTGTTAGTGATTATTTTGCCTCTTTTTGCAAGTAAACACCTTACAGTAAAAGTAATAAAATAGCCATAAAATTCATATAAATTATACAAAGTTAAAAATCATAAGTAGCATTAATAAAATGAGTAAAATACTGCAGTAAAAACTGTTGCTATTGATGGATTGATCTTCATTGAAAGGCCTCTTGAAAAATGCCATCATCATTATGGCTCATCCATTTCAGGAATCTTCATATCTTCCCAGACAAATGGCTGTATGGTGTATATAAACAATTTATACTTCTTTCTAAAATTTGCTATATATTAATAGTTATCTTTACAGAATCTATTCTTTTACTTAACAAGCATTTTGCTGACAAAAATCTAGGGATATTACTTTTTCATAGGTCCCTTCTTTCCCTCTATATCTCTTGTACATGCTAATAGACATATGGATAACTGGGTAAGAAAAATGTTGTTTTCCCAACCTGCTCTACAAGCTGTTGTTCCAGATTCTGGATAGCATCATCTTTCTCTTGAACCAGAATCTCCAGGTCTTGGCATCTCTTATATAAGCGTGTCTCTGACTCACTTGTTTGGACATTAGCAGCTTTCAGCTTCTCCTCCATAATCTGCACCTAGAAATTAAAACACAGCTGTGTACACAAAGTTTGTAAAACTCCAAAATTAAATGCATAATTTGGAATGTTGTAATGTTTTATTCTTCTGAGATTAGTTAAAGCATATATACAGTACATTCCTCAGCCAGTCCTAATCCTAGTTTACTGATATCTCTAGCAATTTGCTATTTTGCTCATTTCTTTCATATGTATCAGTTACTCCCAGCTTAACAATTGTTCAACCCTATAATTCAAACAACCAGATTTAATGACAAACAAACTGCAGTAAAGACATTGGCTTGGATCCACAGTGTTCTATTTATACAACAGAACATCAAAAAATCCTCATCTATCCATCCTCCTGCTTTTGAGTTTGTTATACACCATTTCAAGGATCACTTAGACTTCAAGGACTTTTTTGGGCAGTGGGAAACCAGGAAAGGTCAGGAAATTCCCAAGGTCAGGAAACCCCTATTGTCAAAATGATTTCATATTACATTTATTTCAAATACAATACAATGGGTAAACACAATACAATACAATAAATTATAAAACCCTGTAAGTCATACTGATGTCTAACAGAATGCTTTTTCTTTTACATATTTACCCAGGTATTAAGATTAAATGGGACATTATTTTAAAAGTGATGACACAAGAAATCTTAACAAAGAAACACATTTGTTGCATTTTTTTTACTTGCA